CCAATCAAAAATGTTTCATTTTACTGCAAAATATATTTATCAAAGTTGCTTACGGTCAAATCTGACCTTAAAGGAGTGACTGTTCTCTTTCTTTCGGTTTCGTCTCTGGTGTGCCTGTACAATCAAACTCACATCTGGTGGGAGTGTGTAAATTAAGGCTTATTGGAATAACAACCTGAAAAAAAAGCTTTATTAGAGGTGAACTAACCAAAACTGTCATCAATATCATCAATAATAGCAATAATAAAAATAGAAATAGAAAATAACAGTAACACTGCTCATTTGTGTGCATGGCAGTCCAGTACAGCAGGGGATGGGCTCACAGTGGACAACGTGTCTTTGGAGATTAACTTACATCAGAACTTCACTCTCACACGTGAACAGTTTTACAGAATGAATATTAATGTTATTATGCTAGTTATTGAAATCTTGTTATGCTGCCTAAAATCAGTCTTTTTCATTAGAGCAGCAGAAACGGACCTTAAACAGAAGTGAGGACCCTGTTGGGGTTCATCCTAAAGTTCGGACAGGATTTAGGAGGTTCAGTCTAGTTAGGATGTTTGTGTGATGCTGGAGTTCATGATGAGATTATGAAGGTAGGAACTCTTATTCTGTAATAGCCACTGTCCGAAATTCAGTCCAGACTGAAGCCGTCATGTTCTTCTCTGTGCTCGAGTTCAGAACTTCAGTGAAGGACAGGCGGGTTCTAGAGTGCTGTGATGTGTGACTTGTGTGTATTTTATGTATTTTATGTGTTTGTATTTATAGTGTATGTTTTGTGTGTGTGTGTGTGTGTGTGTGTGTGTGTGTGTGTGTGTGTGTGTGTGTAGGAGCCCCTGATGGAGGAGTACAGTATCGCCACTCAGGTGTGGAAGCTCAGCTCGTGTGATATGTGTGAGTTAGCGAGGAACAGCGTGCTCATGAGTGGCTTCTCACACAAGGTAACAAACACACACTGTGTGTGTTTACATGATGTGTAATGTAAGATGTGACCTCAGTGTCGGATCCTTCTACTGCTGAAACACCTGGTTTCTCCCTCAGGGCTTAATAATCAATACGTCTGTGTATCTGTTTTGCAAGCACCTCACTCAGCACAGCCGCCTCACTCAGCACAGCCGCCTCACTCAGCACATCCGCCTCACTCAGCACAGTCGCCTCACTCAGCACAGCCGCCTCACTCAGCACAGTCACTCAGCACAGCCACCTCACTCAGCGAAGTCACCTCACTCAGCACAGCCACCTCACTCAGCGCAGTCGCCTCACTCAGCGCAGTCACCTCACTCAGCACAGCCACCTCACTCAGCAGTCACCTCACTCAGCACAGCCACCTCACTCAGCAGTCACCTCACTCAGCACAGTCGCCTCACTCAGCACAGTCGCCTCACTCAGCACAGTCGCCTCACTCAGCACAGTCACTCAGCACAGCCACCTCACTCAGCGAAGTCACCTCACTCAGCACAGCCACCTCACTCAGCACAGCCACCTCACTCAGCACAGCCACCTCACTCAGCGCAGCCGCCTCACTCAGCGCAGTCGCCTCACTCAGCACAGCCACCTCACTCAGCGCAGTCACCTCACTCAGCACAGCCGCCTCACTCAGCGCAGTCGCCTCACTCAGCACAGCCACCTCACTCAGCAGTCACCTCACTCAGCGCAGTCGCCTCACTCAGCACGGCCACCTCACTCAGCGCAGTCACCTCACTCAGCGCAGTCGCCTCACTCAGCACGGCCACCTCACTCAGCGCAGTCACCTCACTCAGCACGGCCACCTCACTCAGCGCAGTCACCTCACTCAGCACAGTCACCTCACTCAGCGCAGTCGCCTCACTCAGCACGGCCACCTCACTCAGCGCAGTCACCTCACTCAGCACAGCCACCTCACTCAGCGCAGTCACCTCACTCAGCACAGCCACCTCACTCAGCGCAGTCACCTCACTCAGCACAGCCACCTCACTCAGCGCAGTCACCTCACTCAGCGCAGCCACCTCACTCAGCGCAGTCGCCTCACTCAGCACAGTCGCCTCACTCAGCACAGCCACCTCACTCAGCGAAGTCACCTCACTCAGCACAGTCACCTCACTCAGCACAGTCGCCTCACTCAGCACAGTCGCCTCACTCAGCACGGCCACCTCACTCAGCACAGTCACTCAGCACAGCCACCTCACTCAGCGCAGTCGCCTCACTCAGCGCAGTCGCCTCACTCAGCACGGCCACCTCACTCAGCTGGAAACCCTGACATCCCAACTTCTTTATGCAGCTCTGGGTCTGTTTATCTAGCTGTCTGTGTCTGTCTGTCTATATATATACATGCTCTCTCTCTCTCTCTCTCTCTCCCTCTCTCTCTCCCTCTCTCTCTCTCTCTCAGGTGAAGAGTTACTGGCTGGGTCCGAGTTACACTCACGAGGGTCCGGAGGGAAACGATATCCGTCGTACGAACGTGCCGGACATCCGCGTGGCCTTCAGACATGAGACGCTGTGTGAGGAGCTGCAACTGATAACGCATGCTGTCCAGACGCAGGGCCTGGAGAGCATTCAGGAGGATGCTCCGCTCTGCATGAACCCTCTGACCTCCACACGCTGACCACAGCTCTCCTCTCGTTCGCCTCACACCTTCTCCACAGACGCCACGGATCACTGCAGGTGCCTCTGTCCTGCCTCTGTCCTGCATGCTCTGAGTTTCCTCTCTCTCCCTGAGTGACAGGGCGAGGGTGGCGGGTAATGCAGTGAGTGGGGGGCGTGTAGCTGGACTCTGCAGAGAGTGCAGCTTCTTCATTAAAGTGATAGTTTGGCTTATTACCCACCAGTTAGCACTGAGCTAACACCATAAAGATTATACCTCACCAGTTAGCACCAAGCTAACTCCTTAATGATTATATCCCACCAGTTAGCACCGAGCTAACACCTTAATGATTATATCCCACCAGTTAGCACCGAGCTAACACCATAATGATTATACCTCACCAGTTAGCACTGAGCTAACACCATAATGATTATACCTCGCCAGTTAGCACTGAGCTAACACCTTAAAGATTATATCCCACCAGTTAGCACCAAGCTAACACCTTAATGATTATATCCCACCAGTTAGCACCGAGCTAACACCTTAATGATTATATCCCACCAGTTAGCACCAAGCTAGCACCATAATGACTATATCCCACCAGTTAGCACCGAGCTAACACCATAAAGATTATACCCCACCAGTTAGCACCGAGCTAACAACTTAATGATTATATCCCACCAGTTAGCACTGAGCTAACACCTTAATGATTATACCTCACCAGTTAGCACCGAGCTAACAACTTAATGATTATATCCCACCAGTTAGCACCGAGCTAACACCTTAATGATTATATCCCACCAGTTAGCACTGAGCTAACACCATAATGATTATATTCCACCAGTTAGCACTGAGCTAACACCATAATGATTATACCTCACCAGTTAGCACTGAGCTAACACCTTAAAGATTATACCTCACCAGTTAGCACCGAGCTAACAACTTAATGATTATATCCCACCAGTTAGCACTGAGCTAACACCTTAATGATTATATCCCACCAGTTAGCACTGAGCTAACACCATAATGATTATATTCCACCAGTTAGTGCTGAGCTAACACCATAATGATTATACCTCACCAGTTAGCACCGAGCTAACACCTTAATGATTATATCCCACCAGTTAGCACTGAGCTAACACCATAATGATTATATTCCACCAGTTAGCACTGAGCTAACACCATAATGATTATACCTCACCAGTTAGCACTGAGCTAACACCTTAAAGATTATAACCCACCAATTAGCACCGAGCTAACAACTTAATGATTATATCCCACCAGTTAGCACTGAGCTAACACCTTAAAGATTATACCCCACCAGTTAGCACTGAGCTAACACCTTAATGATTATATCCCACCAGTTAGCACTGAGCTAACACCTTAAAGATTATATCCCACCAGTTAGCACCGAGCTAACACCTTAATGATTATATCCCACCAGTTAGCACCGAGCTAACACCTTAATGATTATATCCCACCAGTTAGCACCAAGCTAACACCTTAATGATTATATCCCACCAGTTAGCACCGAGCTAACACCTTAATGATTATATCCCACCAGTTAGCACTAAGCTAACACCATAAAGATTATACCCCACCAGTTAGCACTGAGCTAACACCATAATGATTATATCCCACCAGTTAGCACTAAGCTAACACTATAATGATTATATCCCACCAGTTAGCACCAAGCTAACACCTTAAAGATTATAACCCACCAATTAGCACCGAGCTAACAACTTAATGATTATATCCCACCAGTTAGCACTGAGCTAACACCTTAATGATTATATCCCACCAGTTAGCACCGAGCTAACACCATAATGATTTTATCCCACTAGTTAGCACCAAGCTAACACCTTAAAGATTATAACCCACCAGTTAGCACCGAGCTAACACCTTAAAGATTATACCCTACCAGTTAGCACTGATAGACCTGCTATGTGGTTTCTGACTGTGTGATTATAGACAACAGTGAGTCATGCAGTGTTGATACACAGTGTCTGTTAGAGATACTGAACAACTGATGATTTAGGCATTGATGCTAATTGGTGGATTATAAGTGTCCACATGTTAGCTGCATTAGCCTCATAGCTCCAGAGCTAAAACTAAAGAATCAAACTTCAGACACCAAACATGTCCCGGCTGATCGACTACGTTTGGGGTAAAGTGGGGAAATTAGGTGAATCTTCGGCTGAACTATCGCTTTAATACTGAGACATTGGGCTGTTGTATTTCGGGAGGGTTCTGCTTCTGCATGAAGAAATCTGTCAGTGTCCTCTAGTACTGTGTGTTCTGAAGCATGTGCAAAATCACCAACATTCTTATTATTACTTCACAATAATTATGTTGTTTTTGTTTACTAGTAGCAGGGACAAACAAACAACAACACTGTTTACAACTGACTCCAAATGTGAAGACGTGTCTGCCTCACGTTTCCCCATCACACACAGTCTGACTGCACTGTGTTGTGTGTTTTACACCGTGACTGTGTGAGCACAGCCGCTGATCTGAGTGTCGAGGTTTATTTGTGCAGCCCCTAGTGAGGGGACACAGCAGCACGACTCTACAGGCCAGAGATCAGGGGGGTGGGTTTAGGCTCTAGGCTAAAGGGTGTAGTGTGCAGGCTCCAGAGGGAAGGCTTCTGTGGCGTAGGGTGTAGCTTTTAGGCTGTAAGGTCTTTAGGGTGAAGGCTCTAAGGTGTAGCCTATAGGCTATAGGGTGTAAGCAAGTAAAGGCGTAAGGGAGTAACGGCTAATAGCTAAGGTGTAGTCTCTAGGGTGAAGGCTGTAGGGGTTAAAGTGAATACTGTAGGTTCTAGGGTGCATGATCAAAGATGAAGGCTCTAGGGTTTAGGGTGTATGGTTGAGGGTGAAGGCTGTAGGGTTTAGGGTGTATGGTTGAGGGTGAAGGCTGTAGGGTTTAGGGTGTATGGTTGAAGGTGAAGGCTGTAGGGTCTAGGGTGTATGGTTGAAGGTGAAGGCTGTAGGGTTTAGAGTGTATGGTTGAAGGTGAAGGCTGTAGGGTTTAGGGTGTATGGTTGAAGGTGAAGGCTGTAGGGTCTAGGGTGTATGGTTGAAGGTGAAGGCTGTAGGGTCTAGGGTGTATGGTTGAAGGTGAAGGCTGTAGGGTCTAGGGTGTATGGTTGAAGGTGAAGGCTGTAGGGTCTAGGGTGTATGGTTGAAGGTGAAGGCTGTAGGGTTTAGGGTGTATGGTTGAAGGTGAAGGCTGTAGGGTTTAGAGTGTATGGTTGAGGGTGAAGGCTGTAGGGTTTAGGGTGTAGTTGAAGGTAAAGGTTGTAGGGTTTAGGGTGTATGGTTGAAGGTGAAGGCTGTAGGGTCTAGGGTGTATGGTTGAAGGTGAAGGCTGTAGGGTTTAGAGTGTATGGTTGAAGGTGAAGGCTGTAGGGTCTAGGGTGTATGGTTGAAGGTGAAGGCTGTAGGGTTTAGAGTGTATGGTTGAGGGTGAAGGCTGTAGGGTTTAGGGTGTAGTTGAAGGTAAAGGTTGTAGGGTTTAGGGTGTATGGTTGAAGGTGAAGGCTGTAGGGTCTAGGGTGTATGGTTGAAGGTGAAGGCTGTAGGGTTTAGAGTGTATGGTTGAAGGTGAAGGCTGTAGGGTCTAGGGTGTATGGTTGAGGGTGAAGGCTGTAGGGTCTAGGGTGTATGGTTGAAGGTGAAGGCTGTAGGGTTTAGGGTGTATGGTTGAAGGTGAAAGCTGTAGGGTCTAGGGTGTATGGTTGAAGGTGAAAGCTGTAGGGTTTAGGGTGTATGGTTGAAGGTGAAAGCTGTAGGGTCTAGGGTGTATGGTTGAAGGTGAAGGCTGTAGGGTCTAGGGTGTATGGTTGAAGGTGAAGGCTGTAGGGTCTAGGGTGTATGGTTGAAGGTGAAAGCTGTAGGGTCTAGGGTGTATGGTTGAAGGTGAAGGCTGTAGGGTTTAGAGTGTATGGTTGAAGGTGAAGGCTGTAGGGTCTAGGGTGTATGGTTGAGGGTGAAGGCTGTAGGGTCTGGGGTGTATGGTTGAAGGTGAAGGCTGTAGGGTTTAGGGTGTATGGTTGAAGGTGAAAGCTGTAGGGTCTAGGGTGTATGGTTGAAGGTGAAAGCTGTAGGGTTTAGGGTGTATGGTTGAAGGTGAAGGCTGTAGGGTCTAGGGTGTATGGTTGAAGGTGAAGGCTGTAGGGTCTAGGGTGTATGGTTGAAGGTGAAGGCTGTAGGGTTTAGGGTGTATGGTTGAAGGTGAAGGCTGTAGGGTTTAGGGTGTATGGTTGAAGGTGAAAGCTGTAGGGTCTAGGGTGTATGGTTGAAGGTGAAGGCTGTAGGGTCTAGGGTGTATGGTTGAAGGTGAAGGCTGTAGGGTTTAGGGTGTATGGTTGAAGGTGAAGGCTGTAGGGTTTAGGGTGTATGGTTGAAGGTGAAGGCTGTAGGGTCTAGAGTGTATGGTTGAGGGTGAAGGCTGTAGGGTTTAGAGTGTATGGTTGAAGGTGAAGGCTGTAGGGTCTAGGGTGTATGGTTGAGGGTGAAGGCTGTAGGGTCTGGGGTGTATGGTTGAAGGTGAAGGCTGTAGGGTTTAGGGTGTATGGTTGAAGGTGAAAGCTGTAGGGTCTAGGGTGTATGGTTGAAGGTGAAAGCTGTAGGGTTTAGGGTGTATGGTTGAAGGTGAAAGCTGTAGGGTCTAGGGTGTATGGTTGAAGGTGAAGGCTGTAGGGTCTAGGGTGTATGGTTGAAGGTGAAGGCTGTAGGGTTTAGGGTGTATGGTTGAAGGTGAAGGCTGTAGGGTTTAGGGTGTATGGTTGAAGGTGAAAGCTGTAGGGTCTAGGGTGTATGGTTGAAGGTGAAGGCTGTAGGGTCTAGGGTGTATGGTTGAAGGTGAAGGCTGTAGGGTTTAGGGTGTATGGTTGAAGGTGAAGGCTGTAGGGTTTAGGGTGTATGGTTGAAGGTGAAGGCTGTAGGGTCTAGAGTGTATGGTTGAGGGTGAAGGCTGTAGGGTCTAGGGTGTATGGTTGAAGGTGAAGGCTGTAGGGTCTAGGGTGTATGGTTGAGGGTGAAGGCTGTAGGGTCTAGGGTGTATGGTTGTAGACTCTAGGCTGTAGGGGATATTAGGTATGGGGTGAAAGTCTACTTCATCTCTAATGTGTAATTGTCCCCTTCTAAAAGTTTACACCCAGTTAATCGCAGAGCATCTCAATGCAGCACTAAGTTTAGGTTCTGGGTGTAGATCTAGGGTCTAGGGTGTAAGCTGTAGGATTTTAGGGTTGGAAGCAGGATCAAGAGTGTAGGCTCTAGAGTTAAAGTGATAGATTGTAGGGTTTAGGGCATAGACAATTTTAAGATCTAGGTTGTAGACTTCAGGCTCTAGATGGGGACTGTAGATGGTAGGTATGTTTGGCTGTAGATTTTAGGGTCTAGGCTGAAGACTTTAGGCTCTAGAATTTAGGCTGTAGGCTGAGGATTTCAGGCTCTAGATTTTAGGGTCTAGCTGTACACTTTAGCCTCTAGATTTTACAGTCTAGACTAAAGACTTTAGGCTCTAGATTTAAAGGTTTAGCCTGTAGACTTTAGGCTCTAGCTTTTAGGGTGTAGAGTCTGAAGTGTTGGTTAGCTGATTCAGATGTTTGAGGAAGTGGACTAGAAGAGAGATGTGGATCGGCTTTGGTCTGTGAGGATTGGAGTGTTAAACTGAGGAACACCTGCTGCAGGTGTGTGTTAGTGTGTAGGGTGTGTGTTGTAAGCCATATAGCTGAATGGAGTCTGTGCTGTGAAGCCCCTCCCCCCTCTGCGCTGTATGGAAACGTGATTTTGTATAAAAGTTTCCTTTAAAATAAAGAGTATTTTTTTAGCAGGTAGAGAAACACTTTATATGAAGTTACTCACTGATCACCGACACACAGTCTGAGTTCAGTTCATGGAAAGTTTGAATCTGTTTCTGTTCTTTAGTGTTTATCCAGTAACACAGGCCGAGCTGTCAGAGTCAGAATGTTTATTGAACATTGAGAGTAAAGAATGTGGTGGAATTTCTGTTTTTACCTTTATGTTTTCCATATTCACACATTTTAAACGATGACAGTAATGTGAGAAATTTCTATCACTGTTATGTTATTATAGTTTAATATTTCTATCAGTTATTTAATTCTGATTTCTCTGAAAGTAGAGGTTAGTTTTCCTAAAGATTCCAAAAACTACAGCGTAGTTTACATTTCCACACAGTATCATATGAGTCACTTTTCGCCTCTGCTTTTAATTTGTTTGTTTGAAATCTTTTACATGATTTACATTTATTATTGTTGAATTCTACACAGTTCTGAAGTTTTAATTTAGATCGGTACGTTTTTTATTTACTGTTTTGTTTACCTTTATGTGTATTTGATATGAACACCGTGTCGCCGCCCTTATGGCCAGTTGATGCCGACGTTCGATGGTCTGATGAATGGAAATGCTCACTTGTACTGAGATCAAATAAAGCATGAAAGTATCATCAGCTTGTCTGTAGAGTTGATCTAAACCTGAAATGCTGCACACTGGATACACACAAGGTTCATTAATATATAACAGTCAAGAGTTTAGAGTGTTTTAGGTAAATGGGATCTACCATTATTCCAACAGAGAGGGCAAATCAGTGCGTAGGTCAACGAGATCTATCATTATTCCAACAGGTAGAGGACAAATCGAAGCGTCTGTGAACGGGATCTACCGTTATTCCAACAAACACGACAAATCAGAATGTCTGTGAACGGGATCTGTCGTTATCCCAGCAGATAGAGGACAAATGGGTGCATAGGTAAACAGGATCTACTGTTATTCCAACAGGTAAAGGACAAATTGGAGTGTCAGTAAGTGTTGATCTACTGTTATTCCAGCAGATAGAGGACGATTCAGAGCGTCTGTAAGTGGGATATTATTGTTCCTGATAGAGGACAAATCGGAGCGTCTGTAAATGGGATCTACCGTTGTTCCAACAGAGGACAAATCAGAGTGTCTGTAAACAAGATCTACTGTTATTCCAACAGATAGAGGATAAATGAAAGTGTCTGTAAATGGAGCTACCGTTATTCCAACAGGTAGCGGACAAATCGGTGCGTAGGTAAACAGGATCTACCGTTATTCCAACAGGTAGCGGACAAATCGGTGCGTAGGTAAACAGGATCTACCGTTATTCCAACAGGTAGCGGACAAATCGGTGCGTAGGTAAACAGGATCTACCGTTATTCCAACAGGTAAAGGACAAATTGAACGGTCCATAAACGGGATCTACTGTTATTACAACAGGTAGGGGTCAAAAAGAAGCATCTGTAAACGGGATCTACCATTATTCCAACAGGTAGAGGACAAATTGAACCATCTGTAACCGGGATCTATGTTATTCCAACAAAGTGGACGTATCAGTGTGTAGGTAAATGGGATCTACCGTAATTACAACAGGCAGAGGACAAATCAAAGCATCTGTAAACGTGATAAACCATTATTTCAAGAGAGACAACAAATCAGAATGTCTGTGAAGAGGATCTACTGTTATTCCAACAGGTAGAGGTCAAATAAAAGTATCTGTAAACAGGATCTACCGTTATTCCAACAGAGAGGGCAAATCTGTGTATAGGTAAACGGGATCTACTGTTATTCCAACAGATAGAGGTCAAATAAAAGTGTCTGTAAACAGGATCTACTGTTATTCCAACAGAGAGGACAAATATGTGGGTGGGTAAATGGGATCTACCATTATTCCAACAGATAGAGGACGATTCAGAGTGTCTAAGTGGGATCTGCCATTATTGTACCTGATAGAGGACAAATCGGAGCGTCTGTAAATGGGATCTACCATTATTCCAACAGACACAGGATGATTCAGAGCATTTGTAAGTGGGATCTACCTTTGTTACAACAGATAGAGGACAAATCGGTGTGTAGGTAAATGGGATCCTGTATTGATTGTTAATAAATCCATAATTCAGTGATTAGAAATAAATACAACACAGACTAGCATGCTGATTTATTCAGACAGGTCATTTTATCATACAGAAAGGTTTACTCAACACTACAGCTGCACGATATGGGCACTATATCAGTATTGTGATTATATTGATTGATATCACAGTTCTGATACTCGTTTACACAGCTCACTGTACAATCAATAACGAGACCTGCATTATTTTATCCAAAATAATTTCTATGATATAACTATGATTGGTTAGAGGCTCGTTTGCATATTACAGATTTCTGTGATGAGATGATTAATGAACATGATATTGTGCAGCTCTGCTGAGCAGTGTTTTAGTGCTTTAGTTTATCAGGTTGATCCACAGTCTGTGTTAAAGAGGCTCCGCCGAGTCCTGCAGGTGATTCATTCCAGCTCTACCTGAGCTCACCTGGACACAACTGGACAGAATCCATACAGGTAACCCAGCACTGCAGGATGTGTTTTTGTTGCTCTGTTTGTTTCCTCACATCTCAGACCAGCGGACTGACCTCTCTGGACATCTACCCAAACACATTTAGAGTCAGTTATTCATTCAGCCTAATGAGAAACTGTAGAACAGACTCGGTTTATATCACAATACCTACATTTAGAGTCGGTTATTCATTCAGCCTAATGAGAAACTGTAGAACAGACTCGGTTTATATCACAATACCTACATTTAGAGTCGGTTTAACTGCTGGACGCAGGTAAAGCCTGTGTAGATAATCTACAGTCAGTAAAATGTGACCACAGTAACTGTGTTAATAACAGATCTAGATTAGGTTGGTCTTTAGCGTCTGTGGACTGAGCGCTGAGCGACTCTATTATCTATAAAAATGTAGATATTGATCAGTTTCTGATTGGGCTGATCCTGAATCAGGGCATCGTTAGTGTGTTTGTACTCACAGCCAGCGCTGATTTAACGTTCTGTAACTGATAATAAACTCGTCCTCCTTCCTCTGGACACACGACCTTCAGCTCGTCTCGGGTCATCCCCAACAACATCGGCCCACTGAGACCACCCAGACAGCGCACCGTACTGAAAGCACACACAGGACCGTCAGCCTGCAGTCTGCACTGGACTGAACTCTAGACTGTATAATGAAAGTGTCTCACATTTTGTTGAAGCCCTTGTGCTCCAGCCAGGCCTTCACCTCCTCCGGCTTCGACTTCTTGTTCAGGACTGGGTTACTGTCCACCTGATGGAGGAAGAGGAGTGACCGCAATGTCCATGTGTGCATTAGCAGTGTGAATAGAATGTAAAGTGCAGTTCCCCTGTCCCCCTGCGGGGGGCACTGCAGTTACCTGTCTGTCCTCACTCTCAGTGGACTTCAGGACGTTATTTGGGATGAAGCCTTCCTGACCGCAGTCATTCCTCACCTTCCACCAGCGCTTAGACATGTCCAGCAGCTACACACACAGACATTACACAGAGCAGCTATTAGTGTGAATGAGTTAATGTGAATGAGTGAGGTGAGTCTGTGGTCAGCAAAGCTGAACTGACCTCCACTTCTTCTCCTTTCCTCACACTGAGCTCTCGATCGTTCCTCGCTCTGAAGTCACATATCACACACATGGAGCTGAGCGGAGACTCTTCACTGCTGTAACACACACACACAGTGCAGGGTCAGGGTGGGCAGAGCTGCTGAAGATCAGTAAGGTCAGTGATGGTCAGTTAGTCCCAAGGCTGCATCGGTCTTACCTGGATTTGGGAATCTGCCAGGAATCAGCGCTCTGAGTGAGAATAACACACACATACATCAGAGACACACTGACACAGGAGGGTGTGTGTGTGAGTGTGTGTGAGTGTGTGTGTGTGTGTGAGTGTGAGTGTGTGTGTTGTGTGTTGTGTGTGTGAGTGTGTGTGTGTGAGTGTGTGTGTGTGTGTGTACCTGTGCTTCAGTGGACTGCTGGCTCTCCTGCCGCTGTGTGAGTGTGTGTTCTCTCTCGGTGTTTGTGAGGACGGGGGGCTGCCAGCCATCATTAAACACCGGAATGAAGGTGGGGATTTCATCATCATCCTCCGGCCACTTCGTACTGAACCAGAGGAAAAGACAGGTAAACAAACAGTGAGACAGTGAAAAAAACAGGTAAACAAACAGGTGAGTGATGGGTTTTTATGTCATCATGCAGTGTTAGCCTGTTTCTCTGTTGTGTGTAGCAGAGTTTCTGTTGGTCAGTAAATGCTGATACTTGTTTAGTAAAAACTCTGCAAGACCATCTAAATCAATCCTGCTGGACACAATGTCCAGTAATGTTCTTGCTAAAGTAAAGTATGGTGTTCCACAAGGCTCTGTTTTAGGACCTCTATTATTCACAATATATATGCTCCCACTGGGCACCATTATCAGTAAACAAAGCATCAATTTCCACTTCTACATTTATGACACACAGTTATATAAATCAGCCAAACCAGATGATCAACTTCAACTTAATAAGATTGAGGACTGTATAAAAGACATAAAGGACTGGATGTGGAGTAACTTTCTCCTCCTTAACTCAGATAAAACAGAGGTTCTGCTTCAAACTGTCTGATTTTACACTTAATATTACTAGAACAGCCTTCCTGCATCTCCGCAATATTGCTAAATTGAGAAATGCATTCTCTCTACAGGATGCAGAAAAGTTAGTTCATGCATTTATTACTTCAAGGCTGGATTACTGTAATGCCCTGCTGGCTGGATGTCCCAGCAAAAGCCTTAACAAGCTTCAGCCAGTCCAGAACGCTGCAGCCAGAGTTCTTACTAGAACCAGAAAATGTGACCATATCAGCCCAGTTTTATCAACCTTACACTGGTTACCAGTTAAATTTCGCACTGATTATAAAATTCTCTTACTGACCTATAAAGCACTAAACGGACTCGCCTCTCAGTACCTGAGTGAACTTCTCTCCCACTATGAACCATCACGCCTACTTAGATCACAAGGTGCTGCTCACTATTAGTACCTAGAATTAATAAAGCTACATCAGGGGGCGGAGCTTCTCATACAAAGCCCCCCAGCTTTGGAATAATCTTCCAGTCAGTGTTCAGGACTCAGACTCAGCCTCAGTGTTTAAGTCTAGACTAAAACCCACTTGTTTAGTGGAGCCTTTGGTGATTAGTTTTCCCTGTTAGATAAAAGGTGCAGATCTGGGGTTCATGGTCATGGAGTGTTATGGTAAACTGGGAGTGTTGGTGCCGTCGTCCCGCTGCTCACGCGTTCACTCAGGTTAGCTGACGGTGGAGCGGAGGGGCGCCGACATCTCAGGGAGCCTCGCTGTTAGTGAGTCTGTCCCTCTTAGTGAGGCTGTAATATCTAGACCTGCTGGAGTCTCTGCTGCTCTGTTAACCCTGTAATCTGTGGTCAGTCTCTCTGTACTGAACTGACCCTCTGTGTGTTTCCTCTCTTTGCCGAGTTGAACAGCTGCCCATCCTGAGCGTCTGATGCTGTTGCTTCTTCTGCCGTGATCAGGTGCCACTGCTCGCCAGGCTTCTGTACTGTTTCAGCCTTCTGGACGTTTTGACCACCATGGAGCTTCTCGCTGTACAACGCTGTGCAGACCTCACCCTCATGAACTGACCCTCCTGCTGCTGCTGCACAGACTTAAACTATCTAATTAACCTGTTTTTCCTGTTTTGTTTTCTAATATTTTATACTATGCTGTTTGCTGTCCGGTGTGGTCCAGAGGAGGATGGGTTCCCCTTCTGAGTCTTGTTTCCTCCCAAGGTTTCTTCCTCCTGCTTTTAGGGAGTTTTTCCTTGCCACTGTTGCCATTGGCGACACTTGGACCCGGATTTTTCTGTAAAGCTGCTTTGTGACAGCACCTGTTGTAAAACGTGCTATATAAATAAACTTGACTTGGCTTGACACGAAAGTAAAAGGTCCACCAAAAGTTCCTGTAAACTTTAAGTGAATATGATCCTGAGGTGACGCCCCCTCTTCAGTTCTGGGGAGGAGAGCGCCCCCTGGAGTACCGCCGTGCTGTCCTGCACTGAGATATTTAACACAAATAAAACTCCTGCTGAGTTTATTTTGACTTCAGCTCTTCGTCATTAATGTGTTCAGAGCTAGACTAGCGGAGTGAATAGTCTATAAACAGCCAACAGATCAGCTATATAAGCTTTATAAACTACACAAACTGTATCTGATCATTTACAAGTGGAAACGTGTTTATTTTGATCTGATGGTCGAGAAAGATGTGATCCACTGTGATGAACGGAAAAATGTGCACTGAAATTCTCTGCAGTTCGAGCTGCTCCATCTGTACTTAAGCTGTATGATCTATAACAGAACCGGGTTTCAGTGTAACAGTATAAACGCAGCGTATGGAGACCTTCAGTGTTCACTCATCACTAACTCATCACTGCAGTGTGTTTACAGCTGGTCGGATGTTTTGGTGACTGTCAGATCTGAAAATTCTGGTATGATGGAGACACAAGAACTTCTTCACACCAGAAACCAGCACTCGATACACACGATACACACACACACACACACACACACACACACACACACACACAAGTCCGTCCAGAGATCCAACAGAGTGATATATTTATAATTACACAAAACACTTTTTACAGATTATCAATCCCGGTTAGACGGTTGTGCCACTCGTCAGCCACATTTTATATTTTATAACACAAACTGAGTCTTAAAAACACAATTAATAATATTATTATTAAGAAAATGCTGCAGTGGCTCAGCAGTTAGAGTTCTGTCGTCTGGAGTTTGAGAACCTCTGGTGTAGAACGTGTTACCTGGGGATGTTCCAGGCGTCTCCGAGCGACTGCCACAGCTGATCCTCCTCAGGAGAAGCTTCTTCACTCAGGAAACGCACACAGTCCGGCTCCAGCAGAGGAGCGACCACAGTGGGGGGGAGGTCGTCATCATACACACCTACGATCTACACACACACACAAACACACACACACACACAGACACACACAGACACACACACACACACACACAGACACACACACACACACACACAAACACACAGACACACACACACACACACACAGACACACAGACACACACAGACACACACAGACACACACACACACACACACAGACACACACACACACACACACACACACACACAGACACACACAGACACACACACACACACACACACACACACACACACACACACACACACACAGACACACACAGACACACACACACACACACACACACAGCCCTATGTTACAACTGTGTGTGTGTGTGTGTGTGTGTGTGTGTGTGTGTGTGTGTGTGTGTGTGTCTGTGTGTCTGTGTGTGTGTGTGTGTGTGTGTGTGTGTGTGTGTTTCCTCACCAGCTCCAGAATAGAGAACAGACAGTGGACCAGGTCAGCAGCACTGGGGTCACTAATCTTCCCATTCAGCTCAGCCTGAGACAGAAAACGTGAAGAGTGTAAATTTACAGGACCAGGAAATCTATAGATCTATAGAATTTGTAATCTATAGATGGGATTGGTAATCTGTAGATGCGGTTAGTGGTTGGTGGATGGGATTGGTAATCTGTAGATGTGGTTGGTGGATGGGATTGGTAATCTGTAGGTGTGGTTGGTGGATGGGATTGGTAATCTGTAGATGTGGTTGGTGGATGGGATTAGTAATCTGTAGATGTGGTTGGTGGATGGGATTGGTGGATGGGATTGGTAATCTGTAGATGTGGTTGGTGGATGGGATTGGTAATCTGTAGATGCGGTTAGTGGTTGGTGGATGGGATTAGTAATCTGTAGATGTGGTTGGTGGATGGGATTGGTGGATGGGATTGGTAATCTGTAGATGTGGTTGGTGGATGGGATTGGTAATCTGTAGATGTGGTTGGTGGATGGGATTGGTAATCTGTAGATGTGGTTAGTGGTTGGTGGATGGGATTGGTAATCTGTAGATGTGGTTGGTGGATGGGATTGGTAATCTGTAGATGTGGTTGGTGGATGGGATTGGTAATCTGTAGATGTGGTTAGTGGTTGGTGGATGGGATTGGTAATCTGTAGATGCGGTTAGTGGTTGGTGGATGGGATTGGTAATCTGTAGATGTGGTTAGTGGTTGGTGGATGGGATTGGTAATCTGTAGATGCGGTTAGTGGTTGGTGGATGGGATTGGTAATCTGTAGATGTGGTTGGTGGATGGGATTGGTAATCTGCAGATGTGGTTGGTGGATGGGATTGGTAATCTGTAGGTGTGGTTGGTAGTTTGTGGAAGGGGCTAGTAATCTGCAGATGTGGTTGGTGGATGGGATTGGTAATCTGTAGATGCGGTTAGTGGTTGGTGGATGGGATTGGTAATCTGTAGATGTGGTTGGTAGTTGGTGGATGGGATTGGTAATCTGTAGATGTGGTTGGTGGATGGGATTGGTAATCTGTAGATGTGGTTAGTGGTTGGTGGATGGGATTGGTAATCTGTAGATGTGGTTGGTGGATGGGATTGGTAATCTGTAGATGTGGTGGTAGTGGTGGATGGGATTGGTAATCTGTAGATGTGGTTGTGGTGGTGGATGGGATTGGTAATCTGTAGATGTGGTTAGTGGTTGGTGGATGGGATTGGTAATCTGTAGATGTGGTTAGTGGTTGGTGGATGGGATTGGTAATCTGTAGATGTGGTTGGTAGTTGGTGGATGGGATTGGTAATCTGTAGATGTGGTAGTGGTTGGTGGATGGGATTGGTAATCTGTAGATGTGGTTAGTGGTGGTGGATGGGATTGGTAATCTGTAGATGTGGTTAGTGGTTGGTGGATGGGATTGGTAATCTGTAGATGTGGTTGGTAGTTGGTGGATGGGATTGGTAATCTGTAGATGTGGTTAGTGGTTGGTGGATGGGATTGGTAATCTGTAGATGTGGTTGGTAGTTGGTGGATGGGATTGGTAATCTGTAGATGTGGTTAGTGGTTGGTGGATGGGATTGGTAATCTGTAGATGTGGTTAGTGGTTGGTGGATGGGATTGGTAATCTGTAGATGTGGTTAGTGGTTGGTGGATGGGATTGGTAATCTGTAGATGTGGTTGGTAGTTGGTGGATGGGATTGGTAATCTGTAGATGTGGTTAGGTTGGTGGATGGGATTGGTAATCTGTAGATGTGGTTAGTGGTTGGTGGATGGGATTGGTAATCTGTAGATGTGGTTAGTGGTTGGTGGATGGGATTGGTAATCTGTAGATGTGGTTGGTAGTTGGTGGATGGGATTGGTAATCTGTAGATGTGGTTAGTGGTTGGTGGATGGGATTGGTAATCTGTAGATGTGGTTAGTGGTTGGTGGATGGGATTGGTAATCTGTAGATGTGGTTGGTAGTTGGTGGATGGGATTGGTAATCTGTAGATGTGGTTAGTGGTTGGTGGATGGGATTGGTAATCTGTAGATGTGGTTAGTGGTTGGTGGATGGGATTGGTAATCTGTAGATGTGGTTGGTAGTTGGTGGATGGGATTGGTAATCTGTAGATGTGGTTAGTGGTTGGTGGATGGGATTGGTAATCTGTAGATGTGGTTGGTGGATGGGATTGGTAATCTGTAGATGTGGTTGGTGGATGGGATTGGTAATCTGTAGATGTGGTTGGTGGATGGGATTGGTAATCTGTAGATGTGGTTGTGGTGGATGGGATTGGTAATCTGTAGATGTGGTTGGTACCCACCAGCAGATTGAAGGCCATTTTGATTTTCTGCAGGCAGACTATGAACTGGTCAACTGAAGGGAGACCCTGCACAGCTTCAGAACACACACACACACACACACACACACACACACACACACACACACACACACACACATTTACAGCATTCTTACACATTTTGTCCAACTCAGTAATCTTCTCTTATCTCAGGTTCTCTCCGTGGTCCTGACGTCCTCCTGTCCTGCAGGGGGTGTTTTTGCTACAAACACCTGATTTAATAGGGGTTGTTGCTGGTTGTCACTGATTAGCTGACCAGGCGTTTCAGAGCAGGACAGGAGACCTTCAGGAGCAGAGCTGGGAAACAGTGGCCTGAGCTGATCGTCACCTTTCTGCTTTTTCTTCTTTTTCTTCTTCTTGTCCTTTCTCGGCACCACGGCAACCACTTGGTCAGCAAACTCTTCGATATCGTTGATCAGGTGGTTCAGTATGTCCTGCAAGGAAGCACAACAGTACAGCATCTCCAGCATGAACGTTTCCCTAACAACCGTATCCCTATCGACCATCTGACATCAATCACCATGACAACCAGATCTGTACACTCTGGTGTTACTGGCTGAGGAATGCAAGTCAGCTATTCTGCACACTTTTATACTGAATAATATTAAAAGTTAAAGGAATAATTCAGTGAAATATCAGCTTTACATAATTTACCCTAAATTACCCTAAATTCAGTCAATCAGCCAAATATGATTAGTGATCTGTAGATCTGTAAACATAGTTGGTCATTTTTCACATATTTGGTAATCTGTAGATGTGGTTGATAATCTGTGGATGTATGTGATCAGTAAAGTGTAAATGGGGTTTCTAACTTGCTGATGTGGTTGGTAGTAAATAGGAGTGGTAATCTGTAAATGTGGTAGCTAATCAGTAGATGTGGTTCATAATCTGTAGATGCGGTTCATAATCTGTAGATGCGGTTCATAATCTGTAGATGCGGTTCATAATCAGTAGATGTGGTTCATAATCTGTAGATGCGGTTCATAATCTGTAGATGCGGTTCATAATCTGTAGCTGTAATCGGAAGTCTGTTAATGGAATTGCTAATCTGTTGATAAGATTGGAAAACGTTGATGGGGCTAATCATTTGTAATACAGAGTTGCTTTCTTAGCTTTGATTATACCTGAATGTACCTAACAAGTAATGCTTACACTCCAGCAATTAGCATGGTGCTAACCGCATGTCTAAACCATGCCACACTCTCCTCAAATGGTGTAAAGGTGTTCAGTATCTCTGATAGTCTTGATTATGTGGTTCCTGATACTGTATGACTCACTGTTCTCTATAAACATGGACTAAAGTACATCAGCATAGCTTAAACAGTAGCGGCCGTCTCGGAGGCTGAATTTAGTCCACTCGTTTTGTCCAGGCCTGATTGACTATATTTGGAAAAATTGTGTAAATGTGATTTTGTGTGTATTCCTTTGGTTTTTAAGTGGGTTAAATATGGGATTAAGGTCTCCAGTGTTTTATGAGTTTGGTGTGGGAGGAGTCCTACCACGTTCCTCTCTCTCTCCGTATAGGGGGCGGGAGCAGGAGGGGGGCTGTGGGTGCGCTTGGGTGTGACCTCTGCGGGGGGAGGCGGGGTCAGTGGCTGGCGTCTGATCAAGGTCGGAGTTGGAGTTGGACTGTCATCTGGAGGATCAAGACTCGGAATGTAAAAAGAACCTTTTTTGGTTTGATTTTAAGATGTTAAGCTATTCAGCTCAGGAACATCCAGGACCTGTGAAGAAATCTGTCATGTCTGTCAGTAAAACATCAGTGCTCAGTTCGAGATGATGCCACCTAACAAAGGTCAAGGCACTGGATAGTGAAGTGTAGAGTGTGTGGTGTTGTAATTGGTTTAACTGTGCTGTACCGTAGTCTGGAGCGTTCCACTCCTCAAGACGAGGTTCTGGGGGAGTCCACTCTCTTCGCTCTGGAGAGGGGTTTCTGGTGTTTCTCACAACAAAAGCCCCTGGTCTTCCTCTGCCAGTAAGAGAAAGATTTAAAACCATATTGGACTCCCCCTGCTGTCCGCAGGCTCTGAGAACTGAACCAGGAGCTGAAGAAACGTCTGGTTTCCGAGACCCAGATTAAACCCACGCTTGGGGTAAATGTGATTTTTCATGAAACCGCTGTTCAGTCCAGAAATAAACTTAATATATGTCCAAAAAACAGCCCTAAAGGTCAGAGTACACTGACCAGACAAAAACTGAAACCCAAACAAGCACAAACATCTGGCTGGTGTGCCGTACCTGTGTTTGAGCGTTCTCTCAATGTCAGTTCTTTTTCTGTACTCTCTACAGTTCGTGTCTGTTTGGTTGGTGTAATCTGGCCTTTAGTGTTTATGACAGTGGTTTTGGGTTTAAAATCGGGAGTGGCTGGTTAATGACTGATTACCTGTTTAGCTGATTGTTTCTGTCCTGGGCCTCATTCGTCCTGTTCTGCAAAATTCGTTCAAGATCTCTTTTGATGTAATCAGCCTAAAGAATAAAGAAAAATAAAATTGAACCCAGATTCAGAGCTTCTTTCTATATGTTAGTTTGGGCTACTGGAGCTGGATTATTTTACCCAGAGGTAATGAAAATAGATTTCATTGCATAATTTCCCCATTTTCCCACAGCCCAATTCGAAAGATCATCACCGCATGTTCACGTCAGTGTCACACCACAGGACACACTTAATAAGAATAACAGCACAACGTACGGCTGCGTCTTATAGCAGGTATTTCATTGGAGTGAGGTTGATTGGAACAAAACTACCGTTACTGAAGGAGCTGTAAAAATGCTGTATTCATGTTGGATTAAAATCACTGATCTCATCAGAAATCACCAAAATTGCAAGACCTCCCCAAGTAAAAGTGCTCTAGCTCCAGTAGTGCTTAATGATGTGCAGGAACATCACCACATTCATCAGCAGATGATTTTATTTTCTGGGCAACACAGCTGAGCCTGTCTGAACCATTTCATTTAGATTCAGAGGCATGGCGTGTAGTTTTCCGCTGTGGTTCTCACCTTCACAGAGTCACTCTGGAACATGAAGACACTGCTCGCTCTGTCCTGCACTGAGATGATCAGCAAGGAGTTATAGACGCAGCTGTCCTGCACAGCCTTCACCTCTAACACACTACTCAACGCCAGAGAGTCCAGCTCCTCCTGCAGAGAGACAGAGGAAAATAGAGACTAGTGAAGGACAGAAATGCTGCAAGAAATGTCCGACCACGTTATATATCACCCCACTACCCCAACTCACCACTCTAGTACCCCATATTACCCTTAACATACCATTATAGCACCCCATATTACCCCAACGTTTCACTCTAGTACCCCAAAGTACATCTACCACAACACTACTACTCCATATTACCACTACATACCTCGTTACACAATATCACCCTATTTTACCACTTCACTACCCCATATTGCCATATAACATGCCATCCTACCCCATATATTACCCTAACAAACCCCATCCTACTCCAGATTACCTTCTCAATTAACCCCAGCCTGTTACCCCCTCACTTTACCTCATTACCCTGGTATTAACCCAAGACTATTACCCTCTCCCTCTACCATGTTACCCTGGTATTAACCCCAGACTGTTACCCTCTTCCTCTACCATGTTACCCTGGTATTAACCCAAGACTGTTACCCTCTGCCTCTACCATGTTACCCTGGTATTAACCCAAGACTGTTACCCTCTGCCTCTACCATGTTACCCTGGTATTAACCCAAGACTGTTACTCTCTCCCTCTACCATGTTACCTTGGTATTAACCCCAGACTGTTACCCTCTCCCTCTACCATGTTACCCTGGTATTAACCCCAGACTGTTACCCTCTGCCTCTACCTTGTTACCCTGGTATTAACCCCAGACTGTTACCCTCTCCCTCTACCATGTTACCCTGGTATTAACCCAAGACTGTTACCCTCTCCCTCTACCATGTTACCCTGGTATTAACCCCAGACTGTTACCCTCTCCCTCTACCATGTTACCCTGGTATTAACCCCAGACTGTTACCCTCTCCCTCTACCATGTTACCCTGGTATTAACCCCAGACTGTTACCCTCTCCCTCTACCATGTTACCTTGGTATTAACCCAAGACTGTTACCCTCTCCCTCTACCATGTTACCCTGGTATTAACCCCAGACTGTTACCCTCTCCCTCTACCATGTTACCCTGGTATTAACCCAAGACTGTTACCCTCTCCCTCTACCATGTTACCCTGGTATTAACCCAAGACTGTTACCCTCTCCCTCTACCATGTTACCCTGGTATTAACCCAAGACTGTTACCCTCTCCCTCTACCATGTTACCCTGGTATTAACCCAAGACTGTTACCCTCTCCCTCTACCATGTTACCTTGGTATTAACCCCAGACTGTTACCCTCTCCCTCTACCATGTTACCCTGGTATTAACCCAAGACTGTTACCCTCTCCCTCTACCATGTTACCCTGGTATTAACCCAAGACTGTTACCCTCTCCCTCTACCATGTTACCTTGGTATGAACCCCAGACTGTTACCCTCTCCCTCTACCATGTTACCCTGGTATTAACCCAAGACTGTTACCCTCTCCCTCTACCATGTTACCTTGGTATTAACCCAAGACTGTTACCCTCTCCCTCTACCATGTTACCTTGGTAATAACCCCAGACTGTTACCCTCTCCCTCTACCATGTTACCTTGGTATGAACCCCAGACTGTTACCCTCTCCCGCTAACCTTGTTTCCCTGGTATTAACCCCCGGAGTGTTATCCTCTCCTGCTACCTCATTATCCCAGTATTAACCCCACTCTGGTACAATTTCAAATCAATTCTCTTTAATATCTGCTCTGGGGGCTTGTTGATGGGACGGTCACTCTGGGTGGTCATATAAGCAGAATTTTCCTGTTACAGACATTGTACCTAGTCAGATCACTCTATTCCGTGTTGGAACAGCATCTCTTGCACGCAGAAAGTCTGACCTTGGTCTCAATGTCGATGAGCAGCAGATTTCCATTGACTATCTCCAGCAGCATGTCCTGCCCCCACACACGGCCAGTCTCCTCCAGCAGCTTCAGGCGCTCCACACACTCCGGCACCCCCCGCAGCTCCCCCTCCAGCTCACACGTCAACAGATGCTGCACAAGAACACAGACAGTCCCTTGTGGGTCTGCAGTCCACATTACAGACTATGGGGATGGAAAATGTAGCTGACAGCATTTATCTGATTTAAAGAATGTTATTGGTCTCTGATTATAGGGAATGTTATTGGTCTCTGATTGTAGGGAATGTTATTGGTCTCTGATTGTAGGGAATGTTATTGGTCTCTGATTGTAGGGAATGTTATTGGTCTCTGATTATAGGGAATGTTATTGGTCTCTGATTGTAGGGAATGTTATTGGTCTCTGATTATAGGGAAAGTTATTGGTGTCTGATTGTAGGGAATGTTATTGGTCTCTGATTGTAGGGAATGTTATTGGTCTCTGATTGCAGGGAATGTTATTGGTCTCTGATTGCAGGGAATGTTATTGGTCTCTGATTGTAGGGAATGTTATTGGTCTCTGATTGCAGGGAATGTTATTGGTCTCTGATTGTAGGAAATGTTATTGGTCTCTGATTATAGGGAAAGTTATTGGTGTCTGATTGTAGGGAATGTTATTGGTCTCTGATTGTAGGGAATGTTATTGGTCTCTTATCGTAGGGAATGTTATTGGTCTCTGATTGCAGGGAATGTTATTGGTCTCTGATTGTAGGGAATGTTATTGGTCTCTGATTATAGGGAAAGTTATTGGTGTCTGATTGCAGGGAATGTTATTGGTCTCTGATTGTAGGGAATGTTATTGGACTCTGATCATAGTGAATGTTATTGGTCTCTGATTATAGGGAATGTTATTGGTCTCTGATCATATTGAATGTTATTGGTCTCTGATCATAGTGAATGTTATTGGTCTCTGATTGCAGGGAATGTTATTGGTCTCTGATCATATTGAATGTTATTGGTCTCTGATTATAGCGAATGTTATTGGTCTCTGATCATAGGGAATGTTGTTGGTCTCTGATTATAGAGAATGTTATTGGTCTCTGATCATAGTGAATGCTATTGGTCTCTGATTGTAGGGAATGTTATTGGTCTCTGATTATAGGGAATGTTATTGGTCTCTGATTATAGGGAATGTTATTGGCCTCTGATTATAGGGAATGTTACTGGTCTCTGATTATAGTGAATGTTATTGGTCTCTGATTGTAGGGAATGTTATTGGTCTCTGATCATAGGGAATGTTGTTGGTCTCTGATTATAGTGAATGTTATTGGTCTCTGATTGTAGGGAATGTTATTGGTCTCTGATTATAGGGAATGTTATTGGCCTCTGATTATAGGGAATGTTATTGGTCTCTGATTATAGTGAATGTTATTGGTCTCTGATTGTAGGGAATGTTATTGGTCTCTGATCATAGGGAATGTTGTTGGTCTCTGATTATATAGAATGTTATTGGTCTCTGATTATAGGGAATGTTATTGGTCTCTGATCATATTGAATGTTATTGGTCTCTGATCATAGTGAATGTTATTGGCCTCTGATTATAGGGAATGTTATTGGTCTCTGATCATAGTGAATGTTATTGGTCTCTGATCATAGTGAATGTTATTGGTCTCTGATTATAGCGAATGTTATTGGTCTCTGATCATATTGAATGTTATTGGTCTCTGATCATAGTGAATGTTATTGGTCTCTGATTGTAGGGGATGTTATTGGTCTCTGATCATAGTGAATGTTATTGGTCTCTGATCATAGTGAATGTTATTGGTCTCTGATTATAGCGAATGTTATTGGTCTCTGATCATATTGAATGTTATTGGTCTCTGATCATAGTGAATGTTATTGGTCTCTGATTATAGGGAATGTTATTGGTCTCTGATTATAGAGAATGTTATTGGTCTCTGATTATAGGGAATGTTATTGGTCTCTGATTATAGGGAATGTTAGTGGTCTCTGATTGCAGGGAATGTTATTGGTCTCTGATTGCAGGGAATGTTATTGGTCTCTGATTATAGGGAATGTTATTGGTCTCTGATCGTAGGGAATGTCATTGGTCTCTGATTGCAGGGAATGTTATTGGTCTCTGATCATATTGAATGTTATTGGTCTCTGATCATAGTGAATGTTATTGGTCTCTGATTGCAGGGAATGTTATTGGTCTCTGATCATATTGAATGTTATTGGTCTCTGATTATAGCGAATGTTATTGGTCTCTGATTGTAGGGAATGTTATTGGTCTCTGATCATAGTGAATGTTATTGGTCTCTGATTGTAGGGAATGTTATTGGTCTCTGATCATAGTGAATGTTATTGGTCTCTGATTGCAGGGAATGTTATTGGTCTCTGATCATAGTGAATGTTATTGGTCTCTGATTGTAGGGAATGTTATTGGTCTCTGATCATAGTGAATGTTATTGGTCTCTGATTGCAGGGAATGTTATTGGTCTCTGATTATAGGGAATGTTATTGGCCTCTGATTATAGGGAATGTTATTGGTCTCTGATTATAGGGAATGTTATTGGTCTCTGATTGCAGGGAATGTTATTGGTCTCTGATTGTAGTGAATGTTATTGGTCTCTGATTATAGGGAATGTTAGTGGTCTCTGATTATAGGGAATGTTATTGGTCTCTGATTGTAGTGAATGTTATTGGTCTCTGATTATAGGGAATGTTATTGGTCTCTGATTATAGGGAATGTTATTGGTCTCTGATTATAGGGAATGTTATTGGTCTCTGATCATATTGAATGTTATTGGTCTCTGATTATAGGGAATGTTATTGGTCTCTGATTGTAGTGAATGTTATTGGTCTCTGATTATAGGGAATGTTATTGGTCTCTGATTATAGGGAATGTTATTGGTCTCTGATCATAGTGAATGTTATTGGTCTCTGATCATAGGGAATGTTATTGGTCTCTGATCATAGGGAATGTTATTGGTCTCTGATCATAGGGAATGTTATTGGTCTCTGATTGCAGGGAATGTTATTGGTCTCTGATTATAGGGAATGTTATTGGTCTCTGATCATAGTGAATGTTATTGGTCTCTGATCATAGGGAATGTTATTGGTCTCTGATCATAGGGAATGTTATTGGTTTCTGATTTATTGAGACTGTTCTTCATATTGGATCGTGTGGAATGATGTTGAAGGTGGAGAATGTTCTGTATGTCTGGAAAGGGTGTCGATCTCTGATTCTGTTGATCATTATTGATAGCTGCAGGAACGTGAATCATCACTTTATATTAATATTATCTGCCTGCAGTGAAAAGTGTAAGAGAACAGTGTGAGTGTTGATGGTGTGTTACCTCCACTCTGTACTGGAATTTGCTGAGCTGTTTGTTGATGGACTTGGCGTACTGGCTTCTCCTCACTGTGGGGTTTAGATCAGAACATCTTACTGAACAGAACTCTGCAGGGTTTAGAACTGTGTACAGTGTGAACACTCACTGTAGATGGCTTTAGCACTGGGCCTGGATAACCTGGAGCTCAGAGATGAGTTTTCATCCCCAGAATAACCACTGAAATGGGAGAAAACAATAATAAATAAAGCAATAAAAATAATATAATAATTTTTAAAATTTTTTCAGTAAAATAATTGTTACCCATCGATTTGAACTAATCAAAACATCACCATGCATAGACATGCATGAACAGCTGTTTTTTTAAATAAAATGTTTTGATTTTGTAATCAGTGACACCTGCAAAACACCACCAGCACCCTCCCATACCCCATTAAGACCCACCAACACCTCACTAACACCCTAACACCCTCCCACATCAACACCCTCCCATACCCCAACACCCTCCCACACCCCAACACCCTCCCACATCACCAACACCCTCCCATACCCCAACACCCTCCCACACCTCACTAACACACCCTCCCACATCACCAACACCCTCCCATACCCCAACACCCTCCCACACCTCACTAACACACCCTCCCACATCACCAACACCCTCCCATACCCCAACACCCTCCCACACCTCACTAACACACCCTCCCACATCACCAACACCCTCCCATACCCCAACACTCAACACCTCAAAAACTCCACCAACACCTCCCACAACCCAACACCTTCAAAAACCCAACACCCTCCCACACCCCACCAACACCCTCCAACACCTCAGTAACACCCCCACACCCTCCCTCACCCCAACACCTCCAAAACTCTACCAACACCCCAACACCACTCTAAAGTCCCTGTTTTACCTATTAACCACTGATGGTGTCAAATCAAAGATAACTGTACCTGGACTGGACTGAGTCGGTGTAGCTGCTGGAGCTGAAGTCGAGCACACTGCTGCTCCCAAACATCTTCAGCTACACACACACACACACACACACACACGCACACACACACACACACACACACACACACACACACACATATACAGTCTTAACACTCCATATATAAATATGTATAAACATCCAATCAAGTTCAATTATAAAGCACATTTAAAAACAACCGTGCTGCCCTTGGGCGCAGTGGGTAGCGCTGTTGCCTCACAGCGAGAATGGCCTGGGTTCGATTCCCGGCCAGGTGACCAGGGTCGTTTCTGTGTGGAGTTTGCCTGTTCTCCCCGTGTCTGCGTGGGTTTCCTCCGGGTACTCCGGTTTCCTCCCACAGTCCAAAAACATGCAGTCAGGCTGATTGGACATGCTGAATTGCCCCTAGGTGTGAGTGTGTGTGAATGTGTATGTCTGTCTGTCTGCCCTGCGATGGACTGGCGACCTGTCCAGGGTGTATCCTGCCTTCTGCCCAGTGACAGCTGGGATAGGCTCCAGCACCCCACCGCGACCCAGAAGGATAAGCGGTTTAGATGATGTGTGTGTGTGTGTGTGTGTGTGTGTGTGTGTGTGTGTGTGTGTGTGTGTGTGTGTGTGTTTAAAAATAACAACTGTTGTTCAATCAGATCAGAAACTACTGAATAAAACAGGAGAATAAAGTAAAGACAGTAAACAAACTGATTGTGATTATAAACACACCTGCTGTGGCTGAGAGTCAGTGTTTAATGTTGATCTGCTCTGTCGACTCTGAGGGGAATCTCACTGAATGGTATTGATATCTGCTCTTATCAAACACTATTGATCTCTACTGATGAAAACACTGACTAATCATTAGGAATCATTAATAACTGATCTCTGATAACATGGAATGTCACTGCTGTGTGATTAATTATAGACATTTTCTACATCTGATCATGTGGAATGTTACTGATCTCTGAACATGTGGAATAGTATTGATCTCTGATCATGTGGAATAGTATTGATCTCCGATCATGTGGAATAGTATTGATCTCTGATCATGGGGAATGTTAGTGACCTTTGCTCCTGGTAACTCCTGGTAATTGTTTCTGTGCTATTTGCAGCTTTTATGGGGCCATAAAGAACTATAACCTCTCAGCTCAGATAGAACACTGAGTGACATCACACACATACATCCAATCAGTGCTCGATTACAGATTATATAATAAACACATTAAAAACCATGAAGCTTCCAGAATACATAATAACCCTGATAAATCCAGTCAGTCACGATAATCCAGTTTATTTCTGCTGCCGTTCAAAATCAGCTGAATACCCCAGAGCGCCCCCTCTCTGTCATCAACATCTGTAATTACTTTAACATCTGTCAGTAACATGTTCTCTCTGTTCACCGGAACTTCGTTTTTGGTCCAGATTAGCAGAGACAGAAACCATCTCAGTACCTCAGCAGGTCCGGAGCAGTTTCACCTCCACGGATCACGACCCGATTCTGCCTTTTCAACCAGATTCATTTAACTCAGACATTTATCACACTTATTAACTAATCAATAACAACACAGAGAACAATGTAAAATCATTACACAGTAACACACTCAGTCAGTCAGAGCACTGCTGGCATCAGACTTTGATACCTCAACATAATTAAAATTATATTTCACAACATAATTGTGATTTTTTTAATTTTCTTGAGTTCTTATTAAGTTGTAGGAGTGAAGAACTTAAAGCTGGACCTGCCAGCAGATCTGTGAAGATTAAACAGTGCAGATTTAATCCAGAGATATTTATTAATCCCCTCTGCTCTCATTCCAAAGAGGATCCTTCAGTAAACAGGATCAGTGTTTCAATAAGTGTGCAGATTTTTCATTTGCATTGAACTTTTTAACAGTGAGCTAAAAGTCTTAAAACATCACAAACAGATAAAATGACCGGACCACTGACTGACCACATGTCCAGGTGTTTCTGTATGCTAATGATTGAAACAGTAAGAGTTTTGATTTGAATAGAGAAGCTTTATACTGAAAGGTGGGCGGTTTGGTCACTTATCTCCAACTGAAATACAGTAAGTAGTGTGATTATTCTCATTAATGCTGAAGGGGTTTGAGTTTTACCTCTGACGTGTCCTGACGTTTCTGCTGTGCTGGGTTTTGTTTTCTGCGTTAGTTTAGTTTTCCTCTTGCGGAGTGTGTGTCCGTCATACTGAAGATCCGAATCGCTTTCGGAGAGAAAGAACGACGGTAACGATAAAACAGAGAAACTCCCTGAGCGGCTCAGAGCAAAGTCCAGCAGGGCGAGGAGCTGCGCTGACCGGAAACAGCCAGGTGGGCCTGTAAAAACCTCATAACTGTGATTAAACGAAACAAACGCTCCACATTCTCTTCACACTGATGTACATCACAGCTATGAATGCTTAGAGATACAACTAAAGCTACTGTGTGTCTGAAAGACAGATGAGCAGTGCGTGTCTGTGAGGGCTGATGGATGTGGGCGTGTCTCCACTGTAATTCCTCAGATCAACGGCCATCACTGCTCTGACCTGCTGAGTAACCAGGATTTACCTTCCCCAACCTGCAGCACTCATAAATTCAACTACGCCATAGTCTGACTTAGCCACAGTCCGATCTCCGGATTAAACCCTAAACCCAATTCAGCTACAGTCTGATCTCAGTATTTAACCCTAAACCCAATTGAAGTACAGTCTAATCTCAGTATCAAACCCTAAATGCAATTTAGTCACGGTCTGATTTCAGTATTACACCATTAACCCAATTTAGTCACAGTCTGATCTCAGTATTTAACCCTAAAAATATAATTTCGCTACAGTCTGATCTCGATATTAAACCCTAAACCCAATTCAGCCACAGTCTGATCTCAGTATTTAACCCTAAACCCAATTAAGCCATAGTCTGATCTCAGTTTTATACCCTAAAAGCAATTTGGCCACAGTTTGATCTCAGTTTTTAACACTGAACCCAATTGAAGTACAGTCTAATCTCAGTATTAAACACTAAATGCAATTTAGTCACAGTCTGATTTCAGTTTTACATCATTAACCCAATTTAGTCACAGTCTAATCTCAGTATTTAACCCTAAACCCAATTTGGCTACAGTCTGATCTCTGTATTAAACCTTAAATGCAATTTAGCCACAGTCTGACCTCAGTATTTAACCCTAATCCGAATTTAGTCACAGTCTGATCTCAGTATTAAACCCTAAACCCAACTTAGCTACAGTCTGATCTCAGTATTAAACCCTCAAACCAATTTAGTCACAGACTCATCTGAGTATTTAATCCTAAACCCAATTTTGCAAGAGTCTAATGTCAGCATGTAACCCTAAACCCAATTTACCCACAGTCTAATCTCAATATTTAACCCTAAACCCAATTTTGTCAGAGTCTGATCTCAGTATTAAAAACTAAAAGTAATTTAGCCACAGTTTGATCTCAGTATTTAACCCCAAACCCAATTTAGCCACAGTCTGATCTCATTATTAAACCTTAAACCCAATTTAGCTACAGTCTGATCTCAGCATTAGATCCTGAACCCAGCTGGCACCGTCTGATCTCTGTGTTGTGTCCCAATAATGGAAAAAAGAGCTGAAGAATTGTATTCATGCTAAAGCTGTGCAGTCAGTTGTTTGTGTTTAAGACTGATTTGGTTATAAATCTGTCTCAGATTAATAATCTCTCCCACTCAGACACTCTGCAGGGTGATGACGGACTGTCTGGACTCATTAATTATGATTAATGTCTGATAGATTCTCATGTGAAGCACGCTCGCTCCAGGTGCTGCCTTTTATAACGGTCACCAGCAGAGGGTGCTGTGTTTTCAGGATTAAATATGGGGTCAGAATCTCGTCTATTGTGGTTTGAGCTGCTGCTCCCAATTTGATGAGGAAAATTGTCAATTTTCAGTTTTCAAGCCATTAGAAAATTTCTCACCCAGCGACTCATTCCAGAACCGCCTGCAGAGACGGGGACTCACCAACACCCCCCTGACCCTGAGGAGGATCTGACTGAAGTTTTCCATTCACATTCAGGAGAATCTTAAACCAGGATCAGTTGAGGTGGTGATGAAGTTGTTAAACACAGCCTCCGTTCTAAAGGTGAACTCTATACTGATACGATGAACTCAGGAGGAACCTTGGATCTAAAGACCAGCTTTCAATCTTCAAGATTTGCCAAGTCCAAAAGGTTGCTGGTTCAAATCTGGCTGGTGGTTCAGAGGAATGGAGGGATGAGGAGGGGAGAAGAAGGATGGAAGAAGGACGGTGTGAAAGCACAGGTTTAAGAAGCAAAAACATGTGATGTGATATTTAAAAACTAAGTCAAATCCCTTGTGTTCAGCTTCATTAACTCCTGCTCATCATCTCTGCAGAGGCCAGCGGGGTTGGTGCACCTTCCTCACACCTCTATTGTGTCTCACCCACCAACATTCATCACAAGCATCTTTCACGTCCACAAACATGACCTGGAGATTCTGTTTGGGATTTGAACTGATAACCTCCTGACCTTAGAGGCGTAACTCATACCAGCCACAGAACCTCACAGTTAACTAGGTCTTTTTTTGTGGACATTTGACTTTCAGACTCCCAGTGAGGCCCTGTAAAACAAACTTATTGTTATTGCACTGGTCCAGATTTAAACCCACAACCTTCTGAGTCCACTGACCCACAGCATCTCACAACACATGCTGCTTTTTTGGGGGATTTGACTTTCAAATTCATCCTCTCCTCAGCAAAGAAATGCAAGCCATAACCCGGTGATCTCCGACCCTGGTCCTGGAGATCTGCCTTCCTGCAGAGCCTAGTTCCAACCACAATCTACCTCACTTGCTCCAGCTCATTAACCTCTTTCCAAGTCTTTCCTGATTGGCTGGAACAGATGTATTAGCGTTAGGTAAGGGGGCGGGGCAGCATTTTAAATTCAGGTTGGAACTAAACCGCTCTCCAGGATCAGAGCAGGAGACCACTGGCGTAAGACCTCTGTGATGATGGGGATTCAAACTAATCAGGAACACAGTCTGTGGTTTTCTGTTCACATTTGACTTTTAATTCCTGCTCATTTTAATCATTCTGACAGTCAGAGTTACACATGACCAACTCGAGAAAGAGTGGAAGTGTTTCTACTTGTGTTTAGGGTCTCCTGAAGACCAGGTGACTGAGTGACCTGAACACTTAACGTTGCTCTGGAGAGAGGAGCTTACCTGGATCATGACTTTCAGACAAACACCTAAAATCAGCCCCAGGTTTAGGAAGGTGCTCGCATTAATCCGGCCTCGTCTCTGCCTCGAGCGTCAGCTGTGATGTGGTGGCTTTGTGAAGGAGGAGGCGACGCAGAGCAGAGATAAAGAAGCACAAAACATTTTCAAGGTTGAGGTCAGGGAGGAAGGAAACAGCCATGTTTTACCTTCTTCTGCTCAGGGGAGCATCAGCCTCCTTCATTATCAGCCTCCTTCATTATCAGCCTCCTTCATTATCAGCCTCCTTCATTATCAGCCTCCTACATTATCAGCCTCCTTCATTATCAGCCTCCTTCATTATCAGCCTCCTTCTTTTTCAGCCTCCTTCGTTTTCAGCCTCCTTCGTTTTCAGCCTCCTACATTATCAGCCTCCTTCATTATCAGCCTCCTTCATTTTCAGCCTCCTTCATTTTCAGCCTCCTTCATTATCAGCCTCCTTCATTTTCAGCCTCCTTCATTATCAGCCTCCTTCATTTTCAGCCTCCTTCATTATCAGCCTCCTTCATTTTCAGCCTCCTTCATTATCAGCCTCCTTCATTATCAGCCTCCTACATTATCAGCCTCCTTCATTATCAGCCTCCTTCATTTTCAGCCTCCTTCATTATCAGCCTCCTTCATTTTCAGCCTCCTTCATTATCAGCCTCCTTCATTTTCAGCCTCCTTCATTATCAGCCTGCTTCATTTTCAGCCTCCTTCATTATCAGCCTCCTACATTATCAGCCTCCTTCATTATCAGCCTCCTTCATTTTCAGCCTCCTTCATTATCAGCCTCCTTCATTTTCAGCCTCCTTCATTTTCAGCCTCCTTCATTATCAGCCTCCTTCATTTTCAGCCTCCTACATTATCAGCCTGCTTCATTTTCAGCCTCCTTCATTATCAGCCTCCTTCATTTTCAGCCTCCTTCATTATCAGCCTCCTACATTATCAGCCTCCTTCATTATCAGCCTCCTTCATTTTCAGCCTCCTTCATTATCAGCCTCCTTCATTTTCAGCCTCCTTCATTTTCAGCCTCCTTCATTTTCAGCCTCCTTCGTTTTCAGCCTCCTTCATTATCAGCCTCCTTTGTTTTCAGCCTCCTTCGTTTTCAGCCTCCTTCATTTTCAGCCTCTGTGACTTATTTACACTCAACATGTTTTGTTTTGAGCAGGGGTGCCCAAACTTTTGCACATGACACTATAGTAATACAGTTCAGTGACATAAGCGTTTCCTCCCGGGCTGCTCATGGGGGCATCACCTTCTTTTCCGACCCATCATGTCTTTCATGAACTTCAAATTATCAAGACCAGGAGATTCTATTTGGGGTTTGAACCAACAACCTTCTGATCACAGTTCAGAGCAGCGAGATGCAGGAGCTCAATCACAGTAAGGTGTCTTTTCTCACTGCATGCTGTGGAGAGGAGATCAAAAACATGACCTGAAGGTTCTTGAGCAGAATCTGAACTCATAACCTCCTGACTTGGAGAACCAGGCTTCTAAACATTGAGTCCTCAACAAGCACTGCTGTTCTGGAAACTCTGGAGTCTCTCTGAGCTGCTGACTCAGACATGCGGAACGTTTTGGTGGGATTTTTGGTTCTACCAAAACATCTGAAGCTCCTGCTATGGGATTCAAAGATCTGAGAAGTCAGTGCAGAACAATAAAAGTGAGGGTGTTTTATATAATGTGTATATAACTCGTGTAATTATTTAACAGGCGATCAAAATCAGATTCGTCAAAATTAAAAATTTTCTGCATAATTAAGTGGTTAAGATGTAAACAGAGCGGTTCAGAGCGGTTCAGAGGGGTTCGGTGTGAAACGCTCTGTTCTAGATAAACTTACCGAGTCAGAACTGTTCACAGTGGTGGTGATAGGAACCAGACGTCCACCTCTAAAAGCTCCCTCACAGAAAGTTCCTACATGAAATGGTTATGAATTCACTGCCTGATGACTGAGACACTGTTTATGATAGTTTAGAGAACTTAAACTCCATTCATGGTGGAGGGATACATGCAGGGCGCTGTGAGGCAAAATAGACCCCAAAGAAAACTTATTATTTCAGATTTTCCACTATTTTCCATCATCAACATTCCATATAAACTCAGAAGACTCGTGTAGGTTCACTGGTGGTTCTGGATAGTAAATAAAATGTCTATATCTGTGTTGTAGTCATGGCGACCCCTGGTTCCTATCACCACCACTGTAAAGACATCTGAACCATTTCACACCAAACTACTCTGAATCACTCTGTTCACATCTCACACACTGAGTTATGGTAAATGGTTGGAATTCACATCAATTAAAATAACAGAATCGATTCAGTCTTGCGTCAGATGAAAAAAGGAGGAGGTAACTTTATTATAATTTTATTTATAAAAGCAAACAGACTAAATCATATCACACGACATGAGAAGAACAAAATTAAAGCTGAGCCTAAACTTAAAACAGTACAGCAGCCCCCAAAATACAGAAACACTACAGCAAAACTCTGATCTACACTTTATATAGTCTATATGTACAGATACATGTTTAGGAGATTACATCACCGCAGGAGTCTATCAGCATGTGATTAACAGTGAATGTCCAGAGAATCACCGCCCGCGCTCTACTGACCCCTAAAAGCCTCAGCGTCTGAGCTGCATGATGTACAGGCTGCTCACCCTTATTACAGTATTAGCCAGTCAAATATGCAAATGAGTCGTTATTTCGTGTTCTGACGTCTGAATAACCAACAAACAGAAACAATTTAGGCCACAACAAAGCGGTCAGTCTTAAACAGACCACAAGGAGGATTTACTGAAGTGTTTTAAATATATTCCAAACTATACACCCTACAAAAGATGGTTCTTCAAGGGTTCTTCAGTAAGGAAAACGGTTCTATATAGAACCATGAGCACTCAAAGAACACTGCATGATTGAAGGGTTCTTTGCGTCATGAAGGGGTTTTTCAGACTCTTTGAGAATGTGCTGCAGATGCTTCTAAACGTTTTCTGCGAGTGTTTCAATGTCAGGCTTGTAACAGTAGAAGAACCCTTTTTGGCGCTATATAAAACTCTTTCTATATAGAACCATCTACAGCACATGTTCTATCAGAAGAACCCTTTTACAACACAAAGAACCCTTGAATTTCGTTATTAAGTGTGGATCATAACCGCAGTGTGTAGAAATATGATGTTTACTCCACATCGTGCAGCTGCAGTGAGTTTACAGCTCAGGGGAAACGAGTTTATGGAATATATGAATATTTCACTGCTCTGCTTCAGCGACGCGGCAACAACACAAACTCTTCATCAATCATTAATGGGCTGAAAGCTCGGCTGCAGGAGAGACTTTGACCGGCCATCCAGATCGGTGAGAACAGCACGACTGCTGAGGTTTCACTGTAACGAGCTAATTAATGTTTTAAGATCACATCGTTGCTTTTGTTAAATAAGACTTTTGAAAGTATATAAACTCAAAATGTGAAACTAAACGGCAAAATTTGGAAATTACTGTTTTTGTGACCAACTCGTTTACATAAGCCCACCCACTCTGCCCACACGAGTTTAGCCCCGCCCATCCCGCATCCATCAGTTTAGTTATGCTGAAGTTCTGACTGCTTCCTAAAGAGGCATGCAGGGCAGCCAGTCAGAACAGAGCTCATTTGCATAGAAGGTTTCATAGGTGCAGCTTGTGTACATCTAAGGGATAAAGAGAGTCACATAAAAATGAAGTATGATGTAAAAATGTTATAAGAGAAAAAACAAGCAGTATGTAGTTTACGGGCAGTTTAATCTATAATAATCTAGTTATTCTTAATGCTACACAACTGCCCCTCGCTGCAGTAACGGAGCACTCCTCAGAGTCTGTTACTGAGCGTGCAGGGCGGTGGGCAGGTGGACGTTGGCCCCCGGGGGGAGGGGCCAGGTGTCGTGTCCCTGGTGCGTCTGTAGGAGGCGGTAGAGCTGCTTCAGCTGCGTGACGATGTTGTCTTTGATGTCGGGGACGGAGATCTGCAGGCGGACGCTGCTGCTGTCGAACGAGCGCGTGCCGTCACCGGAGAACATCTCACAGATGATCCGAGCCACCACCGGGATCACCTGCACAAACAGGAGAACCTCAGCACCACCGTTACACCTACAGCAGGAACGTACACAGACCCATTCCAGACGGTTCTGAACACAGAGTAACCGTTCCACACAGAACATGTACAAACCTGACCCAGCACTGTTTCCTCGAAGCGGTTAGCTGACCACGCTAGCAGCCGTAAAACTGTTCAGCGGGATGACGCATTGATGCAGCTGTTTGCTGACTGGTTCTACGTTTACGCTGCATCTCTCAGAATTCGAAAAATAATCAAATAAATGAAGAGTGCACGATTTTAAAACCCGCATTCAATAAACGTCAAACCATCATTGTAGCAACAACTGCTAACTGTTACACGGCACTGCTAACCTGCTAGGTTAGCACTATCAGCTCTGCTCACCACAGAACAGGTTCGACTCCGACTGACAGAAGCTCCATGACGCAACGACTCAAACGTGACGGCGCGACGTCGAGCGGCTGGTGTGGGAGCTGAAGCCTCCGAGCTCAGCTAATGCTAAGTGGATAAACTGAATGAACAGCAGAGCCAGACGCTCTGAGCCAGACTGCAGAGCGCTTAGCTACAGTTCAACACCGAGGAAGACTCGTGTGCAGAGGTTTGTGCACCCCTGGTCAGGTTCCACGTATTTATTGATTTTCTGAGTGTAAATAAGTTGCACGTCCTCTACAGACACACTACTGCACACCTGAACACACACTGCAAACGTTACAGCACATTCTGTATTTCATGGGTTTTTGTTGAATTCAGTAAATAAGTGTGCAGCAGTGCCTCTGTAGAGGATGTGGAACTGACTTACACTCAGAAAATCAACAAACACATGGAGATCGATCAGAAACATCTGTGTTCACCTGTAATTAAGTCATTAAATTCACAAATACTGCATATTTTTACATTTTCATTAGTTTTATATTTTTGTGTACGGCAAGTCTCAGTCTCACCTGCACCATGATGAGCTTCCTCTCTCTCGGCCGGCCGTCTGGCCACTCCTCTCCGAAAACACAGGTGGATATCAAACTGAGGAAGGGCAGGAGACTGACCACGCTGGTGCGCAATCACACCTACATACAAACACAAACATATTATAAACTTCACAGTGAGTTACTGAATCACTGACTCAGTCTGAGTACAATTACTGAAAAATCCTCTATAATGTTCATATGACCCACACAGTCACTCTGACAGACTGTAATACACTACAGGAAGTGTAGGGGGCGATACGGCTTCTACTGTTTCAGTTATAACAGGAGAAGCTGAATGTACTGACCGCTGAGGAAGGTCTCCAGGCAGAAGAGTTTGACCTTGCGCTGGCGTTCGATGAGGTTTGGGGCGTTGGGGTTGGGGGCGCAGGGTCCAGACCAGTACACCTTACACTGACACAGCCGGACGGCGTAGATGTCGTGTCCGCTGACCTCCAGGATGAGGCCGCGGTCCATGACGTCCAGCAAGCGGTTGGTGAAGAGGCGCTGCTTGTCGTTGTTGATTTGATCGGTGGAGGGAAAGCGGAGCTGCTCGAGAGAAATCGGCCCAAACAGCTCCTCCTGATTCACCATCGGACCCAGATCACCGTAGAACAGCCGGCAACCCTGAGGGTTACTGACCGTCATCGCTGGACACATCTCCTTACCACGGTAATAAAACTGCACCTCCAGATCCGTCACTGAACACACAAACACACAAGATGCTATCAGTATCTACAATCAGCTCTAGCAGTAAAATCCTTTCAAACCTAATGAGAAACTTTAGAACAGACTCAGTTTATATCACAATACCTACATTTAGAGTCGGTTATTCATTCAGCCTAATGAGAAACTGTAGAACAGACTCAGTTTATATCACAATACCTACATTTAGAGTCAGTTATTCATTCAGCCTAATGAGAAACTGTAGAACAGACTCGGTTTATATCACAATACCTACATTTAGAGTCAGTTATTCATTCAGCCTAATGAGAAACTGTAGAACAGACTCAGTTTATATCACAATACCTACATTTAGAGTCGGTTATTCATTCAGCCTAATGAGAAACTGTAGAACAGACTCAGTTTATATCACAATAACTACAGTTAGAGTCGGTTATTCATTCATCATAGATGATATATTTGCATCTCTAACCCAAATTTGTTCATGATTCTCCCTCCTTAAAAAATACAAATTCTACAAACTCGTAATTATGCTCATAATTCATATCCAGATCTCCACCACAGACGCTCTGAGATCACTTCCTCGTCATTACTGTCTCTGCTTAAGTCTCTGTTTTAAATATACCTGATTTCTGCCTGTTTCTTCCTCTGCTGCGTCTTTTAGGCAAAAAATTCACAGCAGATCTGCGGCTAAAATGTGCTTGGCAGAGGTTTATTGATCATAAAGCAGCTACTGATCCTTTATGTGTATTTATCACTTCTTCATAACTGTATTGTTGCCTATATGACCGCCTCCTCCTGATCAGAGCGCCGTGGTGTTCTCACTGGGCAGGGAGCTGATCCAGGTCTCCGGGGTGGTGAACAGCGTGTCCGGTATGGCTGAAATGGGCTGCGGCTCCGTGCCGGCCGGCTGAACGTCCATCTCTATGTCCATCGGCTCCTTCTTAGGCCACACCTCCGGAGGGGCCGGGGTGCAGCTGGGAGGCTGCATGGGTGACACAGAGCCTGGGGGGGTCCAAACTGGGGGGGCCAGAGGGGAGCTGCTCACTGCAACACACACAAATAAACACACATACATCACGTTTTGTGTCAGCAGCACCACTTCAGGATGAATTATATATTATTATAAACATCCCCTGAGATTTAAGGAGGACTACAACATATTTTAATGAAATAGTTTTGTCGTCAGGTTTGCATGTTGGGTTGAGAAACATTGCCTGAGCTGGACCACACGCCTGCAACCAGGTGACACACCAGAAACCATGTGACACACCTGAAACCAGGTAACACACCTGAAACCAGGTGACATACCTGAAACCAGGTGACACACCTGAAACCAGGTAACACACCAGAAACCACGTAACACACCTGAAACCAGGTAACACACCTGAAACCAGGTGACACACCTGAAACCAGGTAACACACCAGAAACCACGTAACACACCTGAAACCAGGTAACACACCAGAAACCAGGTAACACACCAGAAACCACGTAACACACCTGAAACCAGGTAACACACCAGAAACCAGGTAACACACCAGAAACCAGGTAACACACCTGAAACCACGTAACACACCAGAAACCACGTAACACACCTGAAACCACGTAACACACCAGAAACCAGATAACACACCTGAAACCAGGTAATACACCTTATCCAGGTATCAGACCTGAGATCTTTTTTACTAAATGCTTTTGTGGCCAGGTTTGCATGTTTAGTTTCCCAGAAACACTGGATTCACACTTTGGTTAGAAATCTGCTCCAAACACACAGCAGCACACACTGAAGACCAACGTACCATCTCAGCCACACATAATGATTTAGCCAGCAGGATATTCACTGTAATCTGCACTGACCAGCTGTTACTGAAGGGATCGTCACTAGGAGGGAATATCAGTATGTGTGAGATCCTACATTAAACTCTGATTCTGCTAAAACATCACTGCCTGCTTCCGCACGTTCAGGCTGCAGTGTAAATACCTGCGTGTGTGACTGACCTGGCGGGTGGTATGGAGGTGGTGGGGGTTCTGGTGTATCTGGCACATCATCATCCTCACCATCAGAATCATACGCAGGAGCTGAACCTGTAGAACCTGAACAAGAATACATAATAATAATAATAATGATAATAATAATGATAATAATAATAATAATAATAATAATTTACACTGATGAGTTTGTCTGAGTCTCAGAACACTGTGTGTGTGTGTGTGTGTGTGTGTGTGTGTGTGTGTGTGTGTGTGTGTGTGTTTTACCGGGGTTGCTGAGAGGCTGAGGGATGTCACACACGTCGTAGATCTTCAGGGGGTTCATGGGAACCTCCTTGGTGCCGTCATAGATGAGGTTAAACTCCCGGCTCTTGTTGAGGGCGCAGCGCAGCTGAGCTTTCCACTTCGCCGGATCAGGTTCATCAACTCCCTCCTGAAACTTCCCCGTCTCCACGGCCCATGCCTGACACACACACACACACACACACACACGCACGCACACAGCCGCACGCACACACACACACGCACACACGCACACACACACACACACACACACAGCCGCACACACACACACACACACACACACACGCACACAACACACACACGACACACGCACACAGACGCACGCGCACACACACGCACACACACAGCCACACACGCACACACACAGCCACACACATACACACACACACACAGACGCACACAGCCACACACACACAGACGCACACAGCCACACACACACACACACGCACACACACACACACACACACACACACAGCACACACACACACAGACGCACGCGCACACACACACACGCACAGACACATAGCCGCACGCACACAGACGCACGCACACACACGCACGCACACACACACACACACACACGCACACACACACACACGCACACACACACACACACACACACGCACACACCGCACACACACACACACACGCACACACACACACACACGCACGCACACACACACACGCACACAGCCGCACACACACACACACAGCCGCGCACACACACACACACGCGCACACACACACACACGCACGCGCACACACACACACACGCACGCGCACACACACACACACGCACACAGCCGCACACACACACACACACACGCACACAGACGCACGCGCACACACACACACACACACAGCCGCACACACACACACACACACAGCCGCACGCACACACACACACACACGCACACAGCCACGCACACACACACACGCACACAGCACGCACACACACACACACACAGCCGCACGCACACACACACACACGCACACAGCCACACGCACACACACGCACACACGCACGCACACACACAGCCGCACGCACGCACATGTATATACAGTATTAAAGTGACAGTTCACAGAAATATCAAATTAGTGTAAAATCTTAAGGATCATTTTTGTAAAATTGACAATTTCATTTTTTTGTATGAACTTCAGGGGAAAATAGTGTAGAATCTAATTGTGTATAAAAATAAGGAGAACATGTAAAACTGCACATTAGACTTATAAGGTTGAGGTGGAAATGCTGTATGTTTGAATGTTGACAAGGTGGAAAAAATGTAAATTTGAAATTTGCGTGATGAGAAAAACTGTCTAAATCTGATTTTTGTAAAAGTTTGTGTCAATTTTAAATTCTTACATTTTGAACCCCCCCCCATCCAACGAACCAACCCTAACCCCTCATGGTGTGGTTGTCATGGCAGCAGGTCTGACCTTGAAGATGGTGTTCTCCTCTTCCTGTTGGGCCGTGTGCCGCGTGGCGTGTTTCCACGGGATCTGGAAGCGTTTGGCTTCGCGGTCCAACCACACCAAACCCGGGAACGTCCCGTTATCTATCTGAGCCACCAGCCAGGGCTTCAGCCGCACACGCCGGGGGTGCACCGACATCTCTGTGGGGGGGCATGAGGGTCAACATACCACCCCTACTGATCACCGATAAAAGTTTACAACAGTGAAAATATTCTTATCTTTAACCTCAATATGAAGAGATTTTATTCTGGATCATTTCAGTCCATCAGTAAATGTTCACACAGTCACATAAAATAACAGAGGATCTTTCCAAATTATGAATAAATTAATAAATTAATGGACCTGCCCCTCTTCCTTTTGCAGCTGCATGTTTATCTGCTTTAATAACTCACCTGAACGGTTTGGGGAAAATATCAAACCGTGATTTTTCTGACTGATACTGAGACTAAAATTGTGAATATTTTCTATAAATTAAGGTTCAGGCTTGTTTTTTGGCCAAGAGGATCAGAATATCCACTTTTCCTGGCTCAGGGACACAAACGCATGAAGGTTTGGTTGCCTCTGGTTGGTCCAGCTCTACAGACAGTTCACAGGCTCTGTGTTAGGAAGTTAAATTAATATAGACATTAATTATTAAAAACTGCAGCTCTTACGATTGGAAAATTGCGCTCTCTTAAATTGTGATTTCGATATAAAAATGAATAATTTTTCAGCCACAGCACTAGAGGACAGCAAAACGACAATTATTACCATATTTATTATTACAGTGATTATTCGATTCACAGTGCGCTTTTCTGAGCGTTTGGTGACCGTCAGCAATAAAAGTAGCAACACTGAGCAACCATGTTTCAAAAATGAGCATCGATCTACACAATTTACACGACAAATCAGTCTACAAGAGTACCGATCTACACCAAATCAGTCTACAAGAGTACCGATCTACACCAAATCAGTCTACAAGAGTACCGATCTACACCAAATCAGTCTACAAGAGTATCGATCTACACCTAATCAGTCTACAAGAGTACCGATCTACACAAATCGTCTACAAAATCAGTCTACAAGAGTATCGATCTACACCTAATCAGTCTACAAGAGTACCGATCTACACCAAATCAGTCTACAAGAGTATCGATCTACACCAAATCAGTCTACAAGAGTACCGATCTACACCTAATCAGTCTACAAGAGTATCGATCTACACCTAATCAGTCTACAACGAGTATCGATCTACGAGTATTGATCTACACCAAATCAGTCTACAAGAGTACCGATCTACACCAAATCAGTCTACGAGTACCGATCTACATCAAATCAGTCTACGAGTATCGATCTACACCAAATCAGTCTACAACGAGTATCGATCTACGAGTATTGATCTACACCAAATCAGTCTACGAGTATCGATCTACACCAAATCAGTCTACAACGAGTATCGATCTACACCAAATCAGTCTACAACGAGTATCGATCTACACCAAATCAGTCTACAACGAGTATCGATCTACACCAAATCAGTCTACGAGTATCGATCTACAACAAGTATCGATCTACAACAAGTATCGATCTACAACAAGTATCGATCAACACCAAATCAGTCTACAACGAGTATCGATCTACACCAAATCAGTCTACGAGTATCGATCTACAACAAGTATCGATCTACAACAAGTATCGATCTACAACAAGTATCGATCAACACCAAATCAGTCTACAACGAGTATCGATCTACACCAAATCAGTCTACGAGTATCGATCTACAACAAGTATCGATCTACAACAAGTATCGATCTACAACAAGTATCGATCAACACCAAATCAGTCTACAACGAGTATCGATCTACACCAAATCAGTCTACGAGTATCGATCTACAACAAGTATCGATCAACACCAAATCAGTCTACAACGAGTATCGATCTACACCAAATCAGTCTACGAGTATCGATCTTCACCAAATCAGTCTACGAGTATCGATCTACAACAAGTATCGATCAACACCAAATCAGTCTACAACGAGTATCGATCAACACCAAATCAGTCTACAACGAGTATCGATCTTCACCAAATCAGTCTACGAGTATCGATCTATGAGTATTGATCTACAACATATCAGTTATAACTCTACACAAGTTATACAATGTATCAGTCTACAAGTATCAATCAACAACGTATCGGTCTACAATGAGCACTGATATATTTATAATAGCAGTAATAGCAGTGGTGGTGTAGTGTAGTGGAATCAGTGCTGCGTCTGTAGTTGAGCTGTGTTTGGCTGTAGTTTGGCTGTAGTTGGCTGTAGTTTGGCTGTAGTTGGCTGTAGTTGGCTGTAGTTTGGCTGTAGTTGGCTGTAGTGGAGTATCTGAGGGCTGTTCTGATCCTCACTAAACTCTCTAAACTCTCTGAAGCTCCACTCCGCCGAATCTGCTGCTGAAGCTAAAAGGCTAAATGCAAATGGATAAAAGCTAAAGGCTAATGCTAAAGCTGTGTTCAGACAGAGCTCGGACTCACCTGCAGCGCGAGCCGGAAGCCGCTCACAAACTTCCAGTCGGAGTTAAAGTCTCGGTGGAGCCGCTCACCGCGCGCGCACCGACCGCACAACACTAGTCCAGGCACTGACAGAGCGGCGCGCGCGGGTCTGAGCGGGGTCTGAAGGGGTTCTGGGGGGTTTCGGAGCTGAACAGTCGGAGCCGCCGCGTTTCTGTTTTCGCTGCTTTCGACTCTTCCCGAAACTCAGGTAGGCGATGACGTCACGCACGTTTCAGGGCGGCACACCTTTGCGCGCGAGCGCGGTCACTCTCTCTCTCGCTCTCTCTCTCTCTCTCTCTCTCACACACACACACTCACACACACACACACTCTCACACACACACACACACACACACACACACACACACTCACACACACACACACACTCTCACACACACACACACACACACACACACTCACACACTCACACACACACACACACACACACGCACTGAATCAGCTGAGTTTCCTGGAAGCGCCGCAGAAACATTAACACAGAAACTCGGAGTTTCAGCTCAGACTGACCTCATTTACATATTCACCACACTCGGCCTGTCACACTGCAGCTGAGCTGTGACATCACACAACATCAAAGCGCTGTGATCCTCTTATTTTCAGTACATTTAAAGTTATTCTATACATTACACGAGTATTTATATGTATATATGTTTATAATGATCCTGCTGAACAAAGACAATCAGACAGAGCCATTAGAACTGAAACCTGATGGTTTTGCTTTCTAATGGGAATTGGCTTAATGGTCACCATTACAGACCACTAGATTCCTGTAGGACACCTTTAGATCCCATTAGGAAACCATCAAATGCATCTGGGATCAGAACAGCTGTTAAACCATTAGAGTCCTTTGCACTGTGATATCAACCCATCAGGAGAACACAGAACACCATTAGAGACTATTGGACACCATCAGGAACCAGCAGAACCTTTAATGATTCTGGTTTTGGCAGCGTATTTGTTCTACGTTCTACTCTATAAAGTTTTATGTATATAAATGAAACTAAAACTCCCTCTTTCTGTTTTTTTAGTCTACAAACAATTTAAGCTAATTATATTCACTCTTAAAAAGACGGTTCTTCACGGGTTCTTTAGCACAGAAAATGGTTCTATACCCTTTGCATGATTAAATGGTGAAATGGTTCTTCAGACTGATGGGGATGTGCTGTATGTGGTTCTATACGGCACCAAAAGGGTTCTTCTATTATGACAACGTGAAACTTTTAACAATAGCAGAAACCATTTTGGTTCAGTGTAGAACCATCTACAACACATTCTCCATCAGTCTGAAGAACCATATCACCATGCAGAGAACCGTTTAATCAGATGGTTCTTTGACTGTTCAAGGTTCAATATAGAACCATTTTCTTTACTAAAGAACCCTTGAAGAATATTTCTTTATATAATTATTATTTTACACCGGTCAGCCATAACATTCTGACCACCTCCTTGTTTCTACACTCATTGTCCATTTTATCAGCTCCACTTACTATATAGGTGCACTTTGTAGTTCTACAGTTACAGACTGTAGTCCATCTGTTTCTCTGATACTTTGTTAGCCCCCTTTTACCCTGTTCTTCAGTGGTCAGGACCCCCATGGACCCTCACAGAGCAGGTACTATTTGGGTGGTGGGTCATTCTCAGCACTGCCGTAACACTGACGTGGTGGTGGTGTGCGAGTGGATCAGACACAGCAGTGCTGCTGGAGTTTTTAAACACTGTGTCCACTCACTGTCCACTCTATTAGACACTCCTACCTTGTCAGTCCACCTTGTCATCTGCTGCTGCACGGTGTGTGTTGGTCATCCTCTAGTCCTTCATCAGTGGTCGCAGGACGCTGCCCACAGGACGCTGCCCACAGGACGCTGTTGGCTGGATATTTTTGGTTGGTGGACTATTCTCAGTCCAGCAGTGACACTGAGGTGTTTAAAGACTCCAGCAGCACTGCTGTGTCTGATCCACTCAGACCAGCACAACACACACTAACACTAACACTATCTCTGTCTCTCTCTCTCTCTCTCTCTCTCTCTTTCTCACACACACACACACACACACACACACAGCAGGCTGAGATGATGTTCAGAGGAGGCTGTGTTTGTGTCTGAGGACCAGCAGGTGGCAGTAAAGCTGCAGGGATTCATCAAACAACAGAATCTGCTGCACACACTAATGAAACTGCATTATGCTATATATATATATATATATATATATATATATATGTGTGTGTGTGTATATATATATATATATATATATATAAATTTATATGTTCATTCATAAAAAAACCCAAAGGAATAGGTACAAACTGTTGCACTCCCACTCACAGACAGACAGACAGACAGACAGACAGACAGACCGATGAACCACTGAAATGTCTGAGTATCTCTGTGGTGAAGCTCAGTGTTTATTGATCAGTTGCTCCTCCACATGACGGGGTTGCTGGGGCAGACGTCGGTGCGGCGGCGTCGGTGGTCCGTGTTCCAGGAGAAGCGGAAGCCGCAGGTGGGTTTCTCCTCAGTGTGGAAAGGTGAGAGTGAGTTGGAGTGCACTAGGGGTGCATGGTGGGGTTTGTGAGGAGCATGAGAGGGTCGGCGGGGCAGTAAAGGTCCAGCTGGACGCTCCCTCTGCAGGTCCGCCAGCCTGTCCACCTTCATCGGCATCACAGTCTTCTGCAGCATCTGCACATCATCCACCATCAGAATAAACATCTGCACACCGACCAGTCAGAATAAACATCTGTACATCGACCACAGTCAGAATAAACATCTGTACACCAACCACCATCAGAATAAACATCTGTACATCATCCACCATCAGAATAAACATCTGCACACCAACCACCATCAGAATAAACATCTGTACATCAACCACCGTCAGAATGAACATCTGTACACCGACCACAGTCAGAATAAACATCTGTACATCGACCACAGTCAGAATAAACATCTGCACACCAACCACCATCAGAATAAACATCTGCACACCGACCACCATCAGAATAAACATCTGCACATCAACCACCATCAGAATAAACATCTGCACACCGACCACCATCAGAATAAACATCTGCACACAGACCAGTCAGAATAAACATCTGTACATCGACCACAGTCAGAATAAACATCTGCACACAGACCACCTTCAGAATAAACATCTGTACATTAACCACAGTCAGAATAAACATCTGTACATTAACCACAGTCAGAATCAACATCTGCACACCGACTACCGTCAGAATAAACATCTGTACATTAACCACCGTCAGAATAAACATCTGTACATCGACCACAGTCAGAATAAACATCTGCACATCGACCACCGTCAGAATAAACATCTGCACACAGACCACCGTCAGAATAAACATCTGTACATTAACCACAGTCAGAATAAACATCTGCACATCGACCACAGTCAGAATAAACATCTGTACATTAACCACAGTCAGAATAAACATCTGCACATCGACCACCGTCAGAATAAACATCTGTACATTAACCACAGTCAGAATAAACATCTGCACATCGACCACAGTCAGAATAAACATCTGCACACAGACCACAGTCAGAATAAACATCTGCACACAGACCACCGTCAGAATAAACATCTGTACACCGACCACCGTCAGAATAAACATCTGTACATTAACCACCATCAGAATAAACATCTGGGTCAGTCCAGCTCATCCCAAAGGTACTGGATGGAGCTCCATCACTCCAGAGAACACAGTTCCACTGCTCCACAGCCCAATGCTGGGGGGCTTTATACCCCTCTAGCCCATGCTGGGCACTGGACATGGAGACCTTAGGATCATGTACAGCTGATCCAGAGCTCCATTCTATTGGTCAGAGCTTTTCTATGGAGATTGAGGCTGTGTCAGCAATGAGTGGCCTTAAATAGCTGAATCCACTCATTAGAAGGAGCGTCCAGATACTTTTGGACAGATAGTGTATCTACTAGCCAGCATTTGGGTTAGTCTACCTAGACTGCATTTGCACAGGCTCAGAAATGTGTAATTCCCCTGTTGGGGGCGCTGCTGCACCCCTGTGGACACAAGGTGTGTGTTTTGTTTGTTGTATATTGCTTTGTTTATACATTACATTTGTTTATAGTCCAGAATAAAGCAGGGCAGCCTTTATACTGCAGTCTCAGAAATGAGGAAAGGTACTAAACTGTCTCTGGGTCGGTGCTCCTCTGGTCACTGGGGTGGAACCCTCAAGGCTCCATCTCAGTACCTTCAGTCAGGGAACATAACTGAACCATAATCCACTGAAATGATATGTTCTAAGCTGTACTGACTCCACACACCCCGTCTCGCCTCCAGGCTTTTATTTTACTGTTCTGTTTAAAACATTCGGTTATGAAAAGGTACAAATACGAACTTTTCACCTGGAAACACTTATTTAAGGTTCACAATCAGACCTTAAAACCACTGTTGGAGCTTTGAGGGAACATTTACACTGTTTGTACCTTGATGATGAAAATGTTCCTGAACAGAACCTTTATTAAAAACAGTGCAGGTAAAGCGAGGCACCCATGCAGGACCCCAACAGTCGAGAGCCACACAGTTTTAAAACAGCTGTTATTTGTAACGAGAGATTTTCACGAATGGAAACTAAACTAAATCCACCGCTGATATGTTTGGGTGTTGGGAGGGGAAATGAAGGCGTTTATGTTGGCACAGAGAGCTTCAGTAGGGAAATAATCCATTAAGAGATAATTAATAATGGGATTACATTAATTATTACTTATTTAGAAAAAATCATCTCTACTCATCACTTCAGTTCTGCTTTGGAGCCAAATATCTGCACAGATCATTTATATAACAACCTCTAAATAATAATTATTAGATAAATCCACTATATTAATGGTGCTTTCACTGGCCAAGACATCATTTTCTGCAGTGTCTGTGATCCAGAGGGTCCAGTTCCCGTGTTTGGTGGTCAGTGACTGTCTCAGTGTTATCTGAGAGAATCATACCTGCCTCTGAGCTCCTCCCTCTGACCTCATCACCGCCACAGCAGCAGAGTGGACAGCAGCAGCTCTGACCCTGCCCGGCTGGGGTAATCTCTGGATTACACGCACGCTCGGCTGTGACCTCACAGGGGGGTTGCCATGGCGCCAGTTCACACCTGAATCATCACAAACACAGTGATGTCACACAGTATCAGCTAAACGTGTTTAAACAGATTCGCTGAGAGAAGCAGATCCTCAAACTGCACAGCTGAACTCAGAGCTTCACCACGCCCACAATAACACTGCCTCGGGGGGCTGTACGAGGGTCCGCACTGCAGATCCTCACTCTCAGAGCTACACGACTCAC